CGACTTCCAGCGAATTGCTTTCTGAGCGTTTGCACGGTATCCCCATGTCCCCATGTACACGCCCACGCGAGCTGCACGCGAGGACCCTGGCTGATGTTTGGATGTATGCCAAGCCGGGCCCGCATTGCTTAAGGTAACCGCAGTGACAACGCGGAAAGATTTGTATGTCTTCAACAGATTGATGCGAGTTAATTAAACCCTTCCGTCGTAGTAGCCGTGGCGGCCGCAGTACCGGTTCACCCATGTCCACGCCCGAAACACAAGTGGCATCGCAATTACAACATATGCAAAAAAACACCCATGCGAGACACACACACACACGTGGCATCATTGCGTTTTCGCGGAATCCCCTTTTGCATGCTGGCTCGATGCCTCCTACTAAAGTTGGGTAACCTAAACCCAGTCCGTCGCCTCGCAACGCGCTGTCGCCTGCTCTGCGCTTCAATTGTGGTCCATGCCGCCGCTGGCGGGCGCCCAGGACCCGATCCCGTTGCGCGACGTGCTTGACCCCCCGAGCGCGAGCGCCCCCAGCAGGCTACCGCTTCGCTGACGGGCGAGGGCCCTCTCCTACCACGCGGGCGTCAAACTGGGACCTGGACCCTCGTTTGCAGTCGCAAAAAGGCGCGAAGAAAAAGAAAAAACACAAAACGCCACCTTTGTTCGCCTCCTCGCCCAGGCGCGTGCAGCCAGTGCCCCTGCCGCTGTCCGCAGCGTGCGCTCGCTACCACTTTCTTGGAGCTCCCCCTCCAGTCGGAGCTTGGTGCTGCTGGCCCACCGCCAGCTCTGCACGAGCTCCTTGCAGACGCTCGCTGGCAGGAGGCTGCTGAGCCCAGCCGCCTTCCTGCCCGTGCGTAAGCACTCCGCTCCGCCACCGTAGACTGCAGTTAGCACAGGGACCTGGACCCCCGCACAAGCGGCTTGGCAAATCGCGGGTATCCCCGCGACCCTGGGCGGGCTGGGACTCCAGTCTGCAGCCGCACCAGCCCCGCCGCGTACCGCGCCGCCCCGTTTCGCGGCCAGTTGTGCCGCGGTCAACAACCTTCCGATGCGTGCTCCCTGCTGCTCACGGAAGGTTGGGCGGCCTGCCCCACTTGGGCACAGGCTGCTCGACAACCACCAAATTGCAGGATATTGCAGGCTTTGCCAGACCGGGGATTAGGGGACTGGCCTTCTAGGTGGCAACACCATGCGATGCGGACACGTTCGCGACCGCGTGCTGTTGCCATGGTCCATGCAGCCTCCAGCGCACTCCTGCGGTCCCAGGCCGGACCACAGGCCGGGGCTTGGCTGACCGCCATCCCCTCGGACTTTGCCCACGTCCTCGTCCCTGACCACGCATCGCCCTGCGCAGACGCCTTTGGAGGACCATGCCGTGGCATGCCCACGCACGGGGCTGCTCGCGCGCCGGGCCAAGATCGTCGAGCATGCTTGGTCCGCGTGGCACGCGAAGCCGTCGGGCCCGAAGGGCAGGTCGTCCCGCAGCAGTGCTCACGCACACGACCGCGACTGGCGTCGGATGACCGCCTCGAAATGGTCATCCACTTGGCCAGGGGCACTGTGCTGCGACGCCACATTGGCCTCTGCCGTGTCGCGTGATGGTCAGCCGCCAGGGCGCTCAGCGGACGAAATGGCCACGGCTACGCGCCGCAAAAAGGCCACATACCCAGAGTTGCTGCGCAACGGTCCTCAGCGCCTTGCCGTACTGGCTCGGAGGCTGGGGGCCGCTGCACAGGAGCCCTGGCTCTCGTTCGCCTCCGTTGCGCGCCCCTCCCGCTCTGCCGCGGCCACTGCTTGGGCTCGACGTTGAGACTCAGCTGTCGGTCGCTGTTGAGCGTGCGACAGCCCTGTCGGCAGCCGGCCGGGCATGGCCAGTACGACTCGCACCTTGGCAGACGCTCCTGCGCTCGAGCTGGTGTTGGACCTCGCCGATGGGGCGGGGCCCAGCACATTGCCGCTTCGACGGTGACCGGCCCGCGAGCCAGTGAGTAGGTAGGTAGATTTTCTGTTTGGAAGACTAGGGACTACGGACCACTCTTGTCGGCGGACGCAAAAAAAATAATAGCTTGTTATGGGGAGGGACCCATGTATTCCACATGGCCATAGAGTGGCTCAAACCCTGACATTCATCATTTGCATGCAGTCGCGTGATACTTTTCACAATTTCGATCAACCACTGATCAGCCACCTTATGTGCTCGTGTTTCAACGCTTGGAATATGGAACCGGCTCGTTGGTCATCGATGGCACGAGCCATTGTTGGCCGGTTGCAGAGTCGAGCGCGCGTGTCATAAATCCAATTCTGATCAAGCGAGCACCAGATTGGTGAACATGAAGCAATTGCGAGATTCATACCGAAGGCAACGGTTCTGCTTGCGGGCGAATGCATGAACTCAAGATGGCGACGGCAAGCGCTACCCCTTCATGGTTACGAAACTTGGAAAGATGTGCTGGTTGCATGCTGCTCGCCCCGAAAGCCTTCGGCAACTCAGTTGGCACATTGCGCATGGATAGTTGCGAAACGAACACATTTGGGGCACAACATCAGCCACGAGTTTCTTCATAACTTGATCTACGCTTGTGAGTTTCGCGTCGCACAGTTTACGGACCATGAGCTGCAGTGCACTTTGTGGGCTGTGGGCATGCTTCGGGCTCAGGACAACAAAGTGCTCTTACATCTCGCGAAGGAAAGCATGCAGCGCTTTCAGAGAGATGCGCCCCGTGCTTTGCGAAGGAAATCCAGCGGAGTCGGCAATGTTTTCTGGGTGATGGCTAAGTCACACGTTTTCACAGGGGAAGTCGCGGCACACATGGTGCTGCAAGTGGCACCGCTCATGCTTGCGCTCAGCCCGAGGGATCTGGCAGGCATTTGTTGGGCCTGTGCTTTCGCGCAGCATGTAGATACCCCATTATTTTTTGCAATATCACACACGTGTGATGTGTCCAAATTAGCAGGGTTTTCGGGTCAACAACTGGCCAACTTGGCTTGGGCATTCGCTCGCGTGCAAAGCTCTTGGCACGGCCAGCTTAGAATATCAGCTTGGTTTTGGGCTGCCATCGTACAGAACCTTGCTTTCTTCAAGCCACATGAATTCAGCATTACTTTATGGGCGGTGGCCAAGTTAGGGCTGCCCGAGAAAGCCAACATACAAGACTTCCATTTGGTGGAGCGAGTTGGGGCACAGCGATTGCGACAAGGCCAGTTTGGGCCGCAAGAGCTATCAAACCTGTCCTGTGCTGTGGCACGTCTGTTTGTGTCTCACATCGGATCAGGCGACACGTTACTCTCAATGTTGGTGATGACTGCAAGAGAAAGGATGATGGAATTGGAGCCCCAACATCTTGCAAACATGATGTGGTCTTTGGGCCACGCTCGTTTGGCACACAAGCCTTTCCTCCGTGATGTCGTAGATCTCATGGACGTTCGAGGGCCTACTTTTGCCACTATTGAATTGGTGGGGCTGGTTTGGTCGTTTGCGCGTCTCCATGTAAGCGTCGCTGCTGAGATGCAAAAGCAGTTGTTGTTCAGTGATAATTTAGTGCGAGTCATGGGCGGCAAAATCAACGATGCAGACTTACGCATGCGAAGGCACCTTCACTGCTGGCGCAGGCTTCCGAGATGCTTTTGTCTGCATCGCAAGAACTAACTGGGCAGTGCGTAGCCAATGTGGTGTGGTCGCTTGCCATCTTGACCCTTGCCTGCAGAAAGGTTGATTTGCTACCCTTGGTTTCACAGCGGTAGGAGAGAGAGAGAGAGAGAGAAAAAAGAATTTTGAACGAATCCATGCAATACGAGGTCATGCAGCAGCATTGCAGATCAGTGGGTTCAACCTGTGTCTACGGTCCTCAAGCTAGGAAACGGCAACCCGCAAGAGCTGTCCAACACTGCCTGGGCCATGATGCGGCTTCGTGTATTGAAGCACATTCCGATTAAATTGATTGCTGCCGCTTTCACTGGCAATGTCGACAGCTTCAACTCGCAAAACATTGCAAATTTGGTGTTGGCCTTCGCTCGAGTCGGCTGCGATGGAACCTATAACGGCTGCAGTGTTGCACCATTCTGGACCGTTGCTATGCACGCGACAACTGCCCGAACGACGGAATTCAACACACAAGAACTTGCAAATCTATGTTGGTCTTTTGCCGCCATCAAGAAAACAGCTGCCTTGAGTTCAATCGCCAATGAGTTTTTGAGAAGAGAGCATGAAGAAGCTGACCAAGCCAGCATGCTGGCAATGCTGTGGGGCTTGTCCTTCGCAGGTGTGAAGCATCTGGCTTTGTTTCGGAGAGTGCGTCACCACCTGGTAAGCCATGGAAAGAAACTGGACACCAACACAGATACGCAGTTGCACCGGATCTTGCCATTGGGCGTTGCTGCCACTGGTGCTGGAAAGTTTGACCATGGCGAGCCGGTTATTGCCGCGGAGCTGTTGGACATTATTGTCCTGGCAAAGCCACCCGGCTGGGAAGTGGAGCGCCACACACTGCATACCGAGCCGCCATCGGATGATCCGTCGGATGACCATTTGTTTCAGCTGCAATGGTTCTTGATATCCCTGGCACGGCCTTCAGCGATATGGTTCGATAGATCGCATCACTTTGGATTCTTGCATCGTTTGGACATCCCAGGATCCGGACTTATTCTTGTTGCCAAGACATATGAGGCCTATTACTGGCTTTTGGTTCAGTTAAACGCCAATCGAATTGTGAGGGACTATGTGGTTTTGTGCCATGGATGGGTAGCTCAAGCGAAGCGCACTGTTGAGGCACCCATACATTGGACACCAGGCCACCCTGCGCCTAGCCAAGTGACCAGTGGAGGGAAGCCGTCTGTAACCAACATCAGAGTGGTGGCACATGTTCATCGTGCAAGCGAACGGTACACATTGCTAGCTGTCCGGATAGGCACCGGCAGAACACATCAAATTCGGGCCGCGTGCCACATTCAAGCATATTTTTTGTTTACGGTCCGATTGGAAAGTGTCTTCAGTGTAGCTTTTGTGCTACACTGTCTGTCAATGATTGATGTAAGAGGCTACATGTAAGTCAAGTCATTGTAGGTATGTTGTTGATTTTTGTGTGCGTGCGAAGGCGCATGCTGCACATATTGGCCACCCGACCGTTTCTGATGGCAAGTATACCAGCAACCGAACGTTTCGAGAAGACCTTCAGTGGTGTCCCCGAAATTTCCTGCATCGGTACAAACTTAAGTTTCAGGGACGAGAGCCTCAGAGGCGAGTGCAAGTCGTGCAGCCGTTACCATCAGACCTCCGTGCTGCGCTGGGGCAATTGCAGCCAGCTGACGCGGGATCTGCGATTGCGTTACATTCCATCGCTTTGAACGGAGTGCCACCTGCAACATGGGGAGACAGCTAAGATGTTGTTGGAAAGGACACTATGCCAGGTGGCGACGAGAGTGTGTGCAGGAGTCGGACATGAATGGTCCAGGAAGGTGAGGTTTCTCAGCAAGGTGCCTGCTACATGTCCGTCCTTGCGTCCTTCCTTCACAGATTCCGAACACGATGGACCGGAGAGGTGGCGAGAGCATACGCAGCGGCGCCGCCCAAAATTCGACGAATCCCGAACAAGCTCTTCCAGACCAAAGTCGTCAGCAAACTGATTGGGTAGATGCTTCTGACGCCAGGGCACACCTTCCACTTCACAAGGTGGTACAGGAAAGGCATCCCCTGCTCAGAAAATCTCTTGCTATTTCTCCAGTCATGTCATCTCTGGTCTGGGAGAGCTTCGGCTGCCAGAGTTGCCCAAAATTTGATAATGGTTGTTGTCGGCCCTTATTCATCGTGATGGATCGTTTGCAAACACAGTTTCACACAGTGCGTCTTCAAGCACCAGGCTGCCTCCTATCCCATTTCCCAGCTCAAGATACAATTAGCGGATGTCAGGAAAGCAGCCCTCTTCGCTCAACCATCAGGGACTCATTGCCAATCGGGAGATACGCTGAGATACTATACTTCCCCAAAAATCACATGACATGTTGGGGGAGATGCCCTAGTCCCTAGTCCACTGTACAACCTCGCAGAATAGCACATGGATGCCGGCAGGGCTTGGCCCGGCTGGCAGAGCTGCTACGGATGCGCTCGCACCAAAGTGCTGGTCCGCAGCAGCGCGGCGCTGGAGTGCGGTTTCGCACCCCGGAGAGACCCGTGGATCGCCCAGCGCGCGGTTTGTCCCCGGATCTTTGTGTTGTTGGCAAAGATGCCCCACAGCGTCCGGCAAGAGGTTTGACGCCCAAAGGCGGCAAGCAAGTCGGCAGACGCACGCCAGGAGCTGGAATCGTCGAAGCATCAGAGTTTCCGTTGTAGAATTCTCTGGAGGCTGTGTTGTTGACCCATCTCGTATTCAGACCCTGTCAGGAGGCGCAGCTGCCTCACAGGCAAGACCTTCGAAGAATTCACGGACTACCCCGTCTCAAGAGAAAGTTGGCCGTGACCAGGCTCTTACACCAGACCGGGTGAGCACTTTGCTTCAGAGCCTTGGGATCGCAGCGGATAGCGTGCTTGTGGACAGAGTTCTTCATGAGATTCGTCACGCCAGCACTGGCGATCGAGAAAGCCAGACTGCAGCAACTCAGGCCAGGCCAGTTAATAATCTTGCAACTAAGTCACCAAGTGCTGTTGTTGATGTCTTTGTCGTTGGGATGCAACGCAGGCAGTGGTGGGGTTCGCAGAAGACTCCAATCGGACACGACCTGCACCCCGACTTCCAGCCGCATCAGCGGATTCCCGCGGCCGTGTCCCTGGTCTTCTGGAGGAAGTGCTCGGAGACTTCGAGGGAGAGCTGGACGACTTTCGGCCAGCCTTGCCTGCTGCAACCTCCCCGCTTAGATCTCCTGAAGCTTTGCTAGCAAAGCTGCGAGCCGTCAGGTTAAAGCGCGGTTTGGGCATCGCAGAGTTGCAAGCACTGGGTGATGTGAACGGCGATGGGCGCTTGACTGCCGTGGAGTTGGGAAAGGTGTTTGCCGCTGCTTCTTAGATGCCAGTGATCATTCCCCAATCGGGATTCATTTGACTCCATAGACTAGGGTTCAATGAGGAAGGAAAGTCTAGCACGAACAAGAGCTGTGGGTGACATTGTATAGGTATTCTAAGCACACCATCAAACGCGTGAAAAGCAGAAGTAGTCGTGAGAACGTTCTCCCATAGCATAGGCAGTGATAAATTGAGAGCAAACCTCCTCATCACTGATGTAATTTCTCTGCAAGACTGGTTGTGGATCTGCGAGCTTGAAGTCGCCAAGGTTGGAATCCACGCAGATGAGGAGCTCGTGTACGAAGTGTGGAGGCATATTGATACCAACCACAACGGTCAGGTCAGCTTGTTCGAGCTTTTCCAAGCAATGAAGCCATCCACCACAGAGGTGCTGATTGCTCTGAGCCATGTGAAGTACCGCAGGCATGCGTCTCTGTCTACTTTGTTCCGTCCGTATGACTCTAATGGGGACGACAAGTTGACCCCTGCTGAGTTCCATAGAATGCTTAACGATCTCGGCTTCGAGCTGGACGACGAAGGTGTACGGGACCTGCTTCAAGTGATCGTCCGGGATCGAGACGGTGGCAATCTGCTGTCTCTCCGGGATCTGACACTGGCTTTGGAGTCTTTGGAGAGTCAAGCAGGCGCCTTTGATTCTTGGGCTTCTTTCACTCGTGCAGCGCAACGTCACCACACACTATCGCAAACCAAGAGTCAGAAGTTAGAAAGATTGATGTAGCTGTGTTTATGCCGAGTATGCAACTTTTCAAAGTAAGTATGCTTGCTGTGTCCAGGCCGGCCGGATCTGCGAATGGGCGGATCTTCGAAACCCGGGGCTGTGGAGTCGACCCTCCCGAGGTCTCCTGACAGACTTGTGTCGGACAGTCCAAAGAGGTCACCCGAGCGACCAAAGACTGCCCCGGCGGCTGGAACGCAAGCCGTTCCTTCTCAGGAGGGCTACTCGGAGAGTCAGGCTCAGAAGGCATCCCAGCTGGCGGAGCTACAAAACCCGGTGGTCCCTTTCAGACACGCTATCCAGCGCCTAGACCCGTGCGGCCTGCCTTTAGGTGCACAGGCATGGGAAAGTCTAAATCGAATCTTCTATAGACTGGCACAACAGAACAAGGAGGTCTCGACAAGGGAGCTTATTCTGGCTATTCGTAGCGACGTGCGCATAAAAACCGAAGGTTTGCTGCATCGACCGGTGATTGCCACGGACGACGGTGGTCCTGCAGTCTCCTTGGATGAAGCCCTTCACCAAGTTGAAACCCAAGTACTCGACGGGATCGGACATTTGGAGATGGTATCCTGGGACAGGTTCTACTGGCTGCTTCTCGAGGCACACAGGCACCGAGCAGCTCGGCAGCTTCTTCCTGTCCCTGCTGTCCCTGTTCGACCTGAAAGTCCAATTCCTGCAGTCAAGACTTCGCCTCTGTCGGGGACGAACTGCCCAGTAGACCCGAACGTCTCGCCGGCCGCTTCTATCCAGAACGGGCCTCAGTATTGTGACCGTTTCCGCCCATGCTGTGTCCAGCGCATAAGACTCTCGGCGTCCGCTCCGTGTTCTATCAATTCGCATTTGTTTGCTTGTAAGTTTGCTTGCGTCCGGACTGTCAGCCGTGCCTGCAAGTTTATCTTTGGAAGTTGCGTGCCTCGACATGAGTGCTGGATTGTTTTGAAGCCGTGCCTGCTTGTGCCAGCGTGCGAGTCGAAAGCTAGAATCTAGAACATGCAACGTAGGATGTGTTAAAGCTCGAAAGCAGGTCATTCCTTTGGCCGCCCTTGGGATGTCGAGGGTTGTGTCTGGTAAAACGACAAAGGTATTCAAAAGATCTCCGATGCTTGTGCTTGCGACAAGTGAAGACTTCCGGTGCTTTCTTTACCTTTATTTCAACCAGCGGAGTCGGTGGGTGCATGAGGATCAAGCTGAGGGTTTGGGGAGTGTGGTTCTCGATGTTGAAAGGTTTAAGAGCTTTAACCTTGAGCTTTGTGAACTTTCCGGCGGTACAGTATTCACAACATTTGAAGTTTTAAGCAGAAAGGGTGCGATGGTTGCGACGTGTGTGTTCCTGTGCTTGGCCATGCAGTCACATCGCCTATCCGTGCAGCAATTTAGCTGCTTAATTATCCATCTAACCCGTGGATACAAGCATCTGCATTGATTTGTTTATCCAAGTGCAGAACGCTCCTACTGACATCAGTTTCTGCACGTTGAGCAAACATGTGTGTACAAACTCGACTGATTTCAATCGACTCTAAACATGGGAGGGGCGAGAGCGCGAGCCAGCAGCAGTCTTAGTGTTCTGAAGCACAGCGGTACAGTGCAGGTAGCTTCGTGTGTCCGTGCATGCTTGACTATTATTCATACTCGGTTTGCAAGGCATTACTGTCTCTTTGACTATCTGTCCTTGCTTGCTCTATGCAACATTATGCAACTATCGACCCACATGTCTGCCAATTTGCGCATGAGCGTGCGATTGTATCTTCACACTTCGGCCGGTATGCTGAACTGTTTCTTTGCCTTGGTTGAACTCGCTCGCCCGTTGCTTGCTCCATGACCCTTCCCCCTCTCTCTGTACTCAGGTGGATGGCGCAGGAGTGCAGCTGCAACGAAGAGATGCTGTACCGGCTGTATGAGAAGTTTACATATTGCTGTGGAGGTGACCTGGTGCATGTACCACGTGAGCGATTTTTGCAGGCAGTGCAGAACAGCGGGAACCTGTATGCCACACTCATGACGACACCTTTATTGTCAGGGCGTCCGGCCGTGGTGAAGCCGATGAACTGGGGCGATGTGCTCTGGCAGCTTTCCCGCATAGAAGCTCCACTGCTATCTTGGTCGGACATTGTGGCGACAGTGTGCTGGTGCCGAGCCTGGAGCCTTGGGTTGTCAGAATCTGAGGCGTTGCATGTATCGCCTCGGGCTCGACCGAGCTCGGCATCAGCAGCCAAAGCCCGTGTAGAGGCCTTGCTTCAGAATCGGGCCGTAGATGCAGCCGACAACAGAGCCAGGGCTTCACCCTTGCAGCCTTCATTTGATGTGCCAAAGATCGCGCGCATGCAAGACATGCAAAGCCGCTCTCCGCTGGAGACTGTCAGCAGAAGGCTTGCAGAAGCCTCAGGCTCGGGCTGTGAGACGCGGTCGCAGCGATCGAAGCATCCGTGGCTAGACGACTCCGACGACGACGTTCCATCGCGTGTGTCGGTGTCACGAGTGCCGGCCCCGGAAATTCCTCGGCTCTCAAACGAGGCAGGCCATAGCTGCCACAGCAAAAACCAGGGTCAAGCACCCGTGGCTTTGCGGCTGCAGATGCCCGAAGGAAGGCCACCACCAGATCCAAAGGAACTCCAAAGGTTGGAAGTAGAGCTGGCAAGAATACTTAACATGCCAGTGCAAGCTGTTAAGCTCCAGGGCCTGAGGCCCTAGGCCCTAGACTTGTGTTGACACCAGAGGTGCATGTACCATAACCGCATTCACTTTGCTTTGCGGTCGAACATTGGAGGCGACGCAGAAACTCGTGCGCGCTGACCAAAAAAGCCGACATTCCTGAACTTCTTGCCGTTTGGGAATTCTCAGGGGAGCTTGTTGCTAAGTGCGGAAAGAGCGGAAAGACAAAACACACAAAAGAGGGCCCAGGCCCAGGCGGGACGAAGTCGGGCTCGGGAGCCTTCACAGGCTCGGGTGCTGTGCCTTCGAGAGCTTGGCGTCCGGCTCGTCTGGTCATGTGCATAGCTCCCTTGCTTGGCATGCGCGAGGCTTCGTGAGTTTCGCGCGGGGATGGACATAGGCTATTTTCCAGGCAGGGCTGTTTCTTCCTCACAGGCTCGGAGTGCTTCAGACGGCTTGATGATTTCGAAACAAGGAATTGTGAAGTCGGTAGCTTCGGCACAGTGCAAATTTCGGCGTTGATTGTCACATTACAGACATCATAGCATGATTCATCGCCAGTTCTTGGCGAGCATCCTTTTAACAATTGCCTCGAGCCACGGCACACTTACCCCTTTCGACCATGCAAACTGGAGAGTGGATGGGCTCCTTGGCTCATGTGAGACGAAGTAGAAGACTCATGAGGGCAAGGAAGAGGCAGCGGCAAGCGCCCGCCAAACAGCGCTGGCGCAAGCCCCGGTCGCACTTCCTTCCGAAGCGAAACCGTGGTGTTGCGCATGTGAACAAGGGCCTTGACCACAGAGATCCTCTAGCAGACTCTTCGGGGAGGGCCAGGTGCGTATAGGACTTCTTTACAGAGTTCGGGTGCGCAGCACTACACCTGCAAGGCGGGAGTCGTCGACGCATGGCTCATCATGAGCTGCTGCTACGTTCAGCTCCACAAGGCATGCTGGAAATCTGCCGAAGACCTAGATGGGGCCTACGAGTCGTCTGGACACCATCGAATCTACTGTAAACTTTTGCAAATACGACCAGTCCTAGTCCTTCAAACCAGTCCTTCAACATGAGTATACATGTATCTTGATTTGGCTATAGACCCAGCCGACCTTGCGCTTGCAGGGAGGCTATGCAAGCTCTTCCTGTGCTGGCTCGCTATCGGGGGACACTTGAACCGCACTGGCCCCAAAGCTCAAAGTCTGCTGCTTGCAAGCTAGCCATCTGTCCAGTGGAAAGGAGCCAGTGGAGTCTCTGACAGCGATGTGGTGGGTGTGGCATCGCACACACCTCAGTGGCCCACATCTTACGACAAACCCTTGCTGGCGTAAGCTGTTGACCGCACAGGCACTTGTTCGGATCTAGTCGGATGTGCTGAGCTCATCCTGCGAAACGACCAGTGATTCAAGAGCTCCCAGAAGGGTTTCTTGAGACGCTTCCTTGAAAGCCAAGCGAGGTCGGACCCTGCCGTGAATCGGCGGGCAGCCGAAGAGTATTGGAAGGCGCTTTTGCGGACTACAGCACTCCGAAATTCACGACATGCCTGCAGCAAGGCCAAAGACCTACAAGAAGCACAGCATAGGTCCAGACTGGAAGCAGTGGCAAAGGCCCGGTGCCCGAGAAAAGTTTCAGGTCTTGTGCCATGTAGAGCTGGAGAGGCGGCAGGGCGACAGCTCCAGCTAAATGCGCATCAGCCTTACCTGTTGATTCACGCCTTTACGGAGGCTGTACGTGGATTGCTTGTTCGGTTGGCCACTCGATTGGTCGGTCGGTTCTGGTTCGTTGGTGTTCGGTTTGGGGGTCGGTGGATTTCATGCTGCCTCGATCTCTGGCTGCTGAAGGCCTCCGTACGATGTCTTCACAACACCGCCATACGTCAACATAGTGGATGCAGCCTCGGAAGCTTTTTACATGCAATGCACTTGTAGCAGGGTGGTCTCTTCTGCCCTGGCTTGCCAAGGTCTTTGACTCCCATGATTCCAATTGCGATGTGAACTTTGAGCGCGAAGCTCTCCTTGTTGGTCTTGTTATGACGCAGAAAGGGTAGTTTCTCTGTAGGAACTTGGCTGCAAGATGCTGCATCTGGTCAGGTCACCTCCAGTTACGGACCCACTTCAGGTGGGATATCCTGCGGACGGCCAGGATCCTCAGAAGCTGAAGCACAGTGATTCCCCGATGCCGCCGATGCCGTGTGAGGTACTGCGTCCTTACGTCAAGGAAACATGGCATGTGCGAGACCCAGACAGTCTGTTTTTGCTACAGAAATGTGCAGTTCATTCCTAGGGTCAGGAGATGAAGTCTGCTTGCCACATGCTTCTTGTGATCTTCTTGTGTCCCCGAATACAGCTTAGGAAGTGCATACTGCTTCAGGGACGGAGGAAACTAAACAAGGGAGAATCCACGGAGACTGTAGAGAAGGCACAGCTAAAAAAAAGACGAAGTGCCTGGCTGCTGTCCCTCTTGTTTGAGCCCGGAGCCAAACCGACAGCCGATGCAATCTCGTGGTTCCCTCTGCTTTCCGAGAGCATGTCCCAACCTGGACAGGCAGAGTATGCCGTGCCGTGCAAATTGTGCTCCACCTCGCACGGTAGGAAAAGGCGACCAGACGCTGAGTCTGACCTCTGAATACCAAGGATGAAACAAGATGAGCCCCGTGTAAGCTCCCCTAATGCCTCCTCCTGGCACTTAACAAAGACTTGCTCAAGCTGATGGTGAGGCGGTGTGGCACCCGCACGTTTCGTTTTCACAACTTCTGACTTGCCGGCCTACGAAGATATGCCTGGGCCTTAGCTTCCCATCTTGCTGAATGCACAGGCGAGGCTTTGATGATGCTTGGACGCCTCGACAAGATGACTACCCCTTTCTGCTGTGGGTACTCTCCAGGGCTGATGTCTCATTGGAGGCCACAAGCTGCTCCATTCGATTCCGTGCTCAAGTCATATCATGCAAGATTGCCCCTCTGCAAAGCCGAGCATCAGTCACAGTGCATGAAGTCATGCGAGAGCTGTTGCGACGCATCAGGGACATTGTGGCCTATAGTTTCACAGTTAACGAAAGCTTTGAGTTTTTGTGTGTGTGTGTGGGGGCTTTGTACTACATGCCGTTTTGAGTACATGCTTTCCACATCGATTGCAGGATGCCCAGAATGTTTGGGTGTCTCCTAACGAAGACCCCCGAAAAAGCCGAGCCCCTCAAGATTAGCCACGGCAGTGTTCAGTTTTTCGCGCACACAGGCATGCACGGTTCCAGGACGACTTTCGCAGACCACTCACATCCAGCATATGCACGTCAGCAAGCCTCAATCCGCGGATTGATCAGCGAGCAACGTCGGGATGGGCGGGTGGGTGGGTGGGTGGCTGTGCGTGTGCATACGGCTTTTATTGTTGTGTTGTTGTGTCTTCTTGGCGGGAGTTAATCACCTTACAGTTTCTTATGCTGTACGAATGCGATTATCACTATTGCCACTGAACTGTTAGCATACACAACTTTTGGTACCGCATGAGTGGTCCTGTCAGTCTTTCGATCTGCTGCTCCTGTCCTTTTACTATGGTCTGCATCCATAGCGTGAATGTGATTGCCAAGTAATTGCCATACGTTGCCACTGCCGTAGCAGAGCTGTTGGTACTTCTATTGCCTGTCTAGCACTGGGATCACCACTGCTGCTCCTTATGTCCGAAGCTAGCACTGTCAATTGTTAGAATGGCTTTATCTTTGTCAGCAATATCACTGCTGTGCACAAGAGCTTCCTGACCCAGATCATCCTTGATCAGCACCCGACTACGTTTGCTCGTGTGGTGCCAAGGACGGTCGATGCCAAGATGCAGGCCTCGCATTGCGAGTCTTTCGAAGTTCGTCCGACATTTCCAAGATTCTACTGCTGCCATGTCGTGTCACGTCCCAGATACGCATCACATGCTCGGAAGCCTTCTTCGTAGAGCAAGAGCCTCGGGCGATGGAGTCTGGAACGTGGTTTTGACCCTGTCTTGACCACCATCAACTATAGCGTAGAGCGGAAGCAAGTGCGGCCAGTCTGACTTTCGAGAAACGGCATGCTTTCTTTTCTGATGCTCGTTGTTGTGACGCTCGTTCCGGCTTCTTCATGAATTCGCGTGGCGGCACCGTGAGGTCACTTACTTGCGAAAACGTCCTGGATGCGACTGGCGACTTCCCCCGGATAGAAGGATGCCGCTTCCAGGATCACGAGGCTGGATCTCGGATGAGTACTCTCCATTGTCATAGTCACATGATTGGAAACAGGCCCGCTTGATTCTGCAAACACGCCTTAGAAAGCGTTCGGGGCCTAGTTTGGAAAACGAGGCAGCCGGCAAAGACGCTTCAATCCGGCATGTGCACCGTAGATCTGGTGATTCAGTGATGGCTGTTCACGTTCCAACTGTCCACACGAAGCAAGCAATGCTGTACCTGTGACACCAAGAATCCATGTATTCCTTGACGCTCAAGCTGCTGCTGCCCTTGCCTTGGAACGAACCGAGACTTGCCGTCGGTCTTGATGTGTCATGAGTCATAAATTTCGAGATCGAGTTGCGTTTGAACTGAGGCCTCCAGGCAGAATGACAGCAGCTCAGAACAACTATGTCTTCACAACGGAGCAAGGGTCCAAGTTGAATGCATCTGCTTGAAGAAGTTGGCTTACTGCTTTTCCCTCCCTCCTGGCTCCCGCTTGCATCTTTGCAGGTTTGACCCGATGACGGTGATCGAGGGTACGGAAACTTCGATCGATCTGGGCTACACGGCCTGCTCCCCGATGCCTTCAGAGGAACTGCACGGTTTGCATCACACAGATTTAGCAGCTTCTTCCTCCGAAGGTGCCACACGCCAAAGATGACACCGAGTACCCAGGGAGCTATCAGACCCGAGGCCCACCCCACGACGCGCATGCTTCGCATGTCGGGTCAGACAGCCGAAAGCAGGCTACATCACTGGCTTTTTCTACGGAGCATGGACTCCCACGCCAGATGTCAAAGCCTCAGCGTTTTAAGATTGCTGGAGCAGACGTGCTGAGTCCTAGTCACCCTGGTCTTCAAGGGGCGGATGCTCATCACCTTTGGCCTCCGTACCTTCGGCTTTATGAACACGGAGTACAACATCGACGTTGTGGCATATCCAACCAATGCGGGGTCCTGAGTGCCAGGGCTGGCCACGGCAGCCTATTTGATTCTAATTTCGTGGGCCTGAGCGTGAGCTTCTCAGCCTGCTGTGACAAGTCAGGTTTGGAAACTCGGTACTCCTGGGACTGATTGCGAGGACTACGGGCCCACACCTGAGTGACACATGCCCATCGGCATTCTCTTCGCAGCTGGCGAGCGGCCTCACATTGGCAGAGGCAGCCGCATGTTGGCACAACTTGTCGCCTCAGGCCAGCTTCGCAAGCACAAATCACGGAATTAGTGTATTTCTTCTGTTGGGAAACGTTTATTTAGCTTACCGCTTTGCCCTAAGATCATGGGGGATGCGTGATGCGTGCGCAGATGGAATCTTGATGCTTCCATCAGTGGTAGTCCCATTCTTGCGTGTTTTGACTTCGCTGTGGTTCTGACAGATGCAAACGGCTGCGGCCATGCAGGTCTTTCCAAGGAGCTTTAGCATCAGAGCTGGAACCCTGGAGCGAATTCTGGTGTTACTTTGTCAAAGCGCGCGTGTTTCGTTCGTGCAGGGCAAATGGTTTCCGCCTAGACGTGGGCCGAAGCCTTTTGGGAAGCCTGTCTCGGCTACCCTCGGCTGCCATTTGGCTACCCTGCAACATGTGTGCTTGCCGCTGAGGCACAACACCCATGAATAATTTGGGCACCCAGGGCGCTGCTGAAGTTACTTTGCGGAGCTCCCAGCAGCCGAAAATGTTGTTTTTGGCGGCAGAGCGGCCAGAGCGTGCTCGGTGCAAGGGGCATTCCGAAGCCGCCGACTGCTGTTAACATGCGCCTTCCACAGAGCTTTGGCAACCCACTGTACTGCCTGTCCGGATCGGTTCGACCGCCGAGGTACTGGACGGCCACATCTTTTCGAATCGATCAGGAGAGGGGGGGGGGGGGTGATTCCCGACGGTCGGCACAGGGGCATCCTCACCGGATGACAATCAATATACACTTGGTCATTCCTCCATACCAACGACAAAGTACATGTCAGTCAAGGAAGGACGCAGGAGCGGGTGGAGGGAATGAAGCAAGGAAGGAGGGGGACCGAAGAAAGGTGATCAACTGCGGCTGCGATTTGAGAGATGTGATCAATGAGGGGCAGGGTTTAAGAAAAGTATAGGAAAGTGATCTGCCGCCATCGCTGGCCTCATGGGCGAGCCGGTTTAAGAGTTGTGATCCGCCACCATCGCCGAAAGGGGGGCGGTTTAATGAGATGTGACCAGCCCCCATCGCCTCATGAGGGGCTGGTTTAAGAAATATGATCAACCCCATCGCCCCGCCCAATGGGGGGGACGAGTCCGCGAAATTTGATCCGCCGCCGTCGCTCAAACACGCGGCGCGTTCAATGAGATAAGAGGTGTGATCAACTGTCATTGCCATGCGCATCCCTGCGCCACATCGTGAGACCTGGGGCTGCTGGGCAAGTTCTAGATTCTAGTTGATGGTTGGGCAGTTTTTTCTGATGGATAGATGCAAGGTGTTTCGATTGTGAGAAGTCCTTAATTGACGACCACATGCTGGCAGGATCAGCTGCCACAGGAGCCTTTTACAGTCTTTAGCGACAGGCCTGTGAGTGTCGGTGCCTCTGTGACGTCGCTTTATGAGATTTCCGCAGGGGGTCTTTTCATGCGCATAGGTCATGGGAACTCCGACTGGTCGAATTGCAGCGTCCCGGACTTAGCAAAATCTGTCGCCACATCGATGTTGCTGATTTGTTGTTGTAAATACTGTTCTGCCTGGAAAGCACTCTGATCAGGTTTGAACGAGGTGATGTCGATGTGGAGCAGTGGGCCCGAAACTGAGCATGCATAACAGACCGCAGGTTCCCAGCAGGTGGGCCACGACCATCGTGTGGAAGCTTCTGAAGAGCCCTCGCTCGTCCGAGTGCGCAGTTTCTGGCTCCATGCGGATAGTGCCACAAAGATGGTTGAGAGATGGTGGATTCAGTAGCTAGTCAAAGCTGAGAAAAGCAAGATGTTTTGGGCCTGCAACCAGCAGCGCTGTTCATCCAGCGTGTGCGACTCAAACTGTCGCGTCTCAGAGCTTACTTTTTTTGGTGCCCAGGAAGAGGCCGGGGCCCAACCCAGCAAACTGGCTTCAGAGATTGCACCCGAGGCGCGGCCAGAGTTCAACTTCGAGAACGGCGAGTCCTACATCGGCCAGTGGGTCGGTACGGAACGGCACGGCCAAGGTGTGCATCGTTGGCCGAACGGTGCCAAGTACGAGGGTCAATTCGAAAGAAACCGTGCAAGTGGGCAGGGGACGTTCCAGTTTCCGAACGGTGGGGTCTATGAAGGCCAGTGGAAAGCAGATCGAGCGCACGGACACGGCAGCTACAGACACTTTGACCAAGCATCATACGATGGCCAGTGGCGCAACGACAAGCAGCACGGCGAAGGAGTTGAGCTTTGGCCAGACGGTGCTCGATTCGAAGGTCAGCACCGTGAAGGTCAGAAAAGTGGCAAAGGCAAGCTGCTGTGGCCGGATGGCTCCAGCTACTCCGGCAACTTTGAGGGTAACACACTGCATGGTGATGGTGTGTATCGCTGGGCAGACGGTAAAGAGTACAGTGGCCAGTGGGCCAAAGATCGCATGAGCGGTGCCGGCTGTTTCACCTGGCCAGATGGACGAGTTTACACTGGCCAGTACCTCGACAATCAGAAACATGGTCACGGTATGATGCGGTGGCCGGATGGGGGGCTCTACGAGGGCCAATGGGCCAAAGGGCTTCAGCATGGAAGGGGAACACACACCTCCTCATCTGGGGCATGCTCTTCAGGCACGTGGGATGCTGGCCGCTTCATAGGCTGAGGCTTGTACCACCAGAGCTGACTCCATCGGTGCTGAGCGAGTGTGGGATAACGGAGCGCAAAGCCCTCTGAATCCCGTGTCCGACGTGCCAGTATGAGCCAGCGTAGTGGTTGCGCGCATGCAAGAAAAGCTTCCGACATCCGAGCCAGTGTCATGTTTCGCAGATCCTAAGCACACTTCGGCGGCACGTCTGAGCGATCAGGTGGTCCTGGAGTTCAAACCGGGCAACACAGTCATGCCGGGGTCCCTAACAGCGACCCAGTGCCAGCAGGCGGTTATTGCCTAGTCCACTCGAACCGGAGAGGCCTGCAACGGAAATGTCTGGCATGATCGTCATCATGCCTCCGTCCACCTTCACCATTGTTGCGAGCGCCGCCCCACAACTGCAGGGGGCACAGGCACTCGCAAATGACGCCTCGGCGACTGTGAGGACAGCATGTGCAGTTATTCCCAGGCCTTCGACCAACTACAACGAGCTCCCATGCACGTGCATGCCCCAGCTGCATGGCCGGAAGACTATGCACGGCAAGGGTCCTTTGCAAGGTCTTGGCCAGAAGCTGATCGCCTGGCAGGGCCGTAGCCACAGAGACTGTCGGGTTTTCGTGATACGGCTTGCTCTGAGACTGCTGAGGCGCTGGGTTTGTCCACTGGCAGACTCTGCTCCTTTTAAGGAGACCACATATGGTGTTCGGCTGAAGGCGCATCGGTTTGCAACTGAACCTTGATTCTTGGCTCTGCGAGTTTGCACAAGGTCCGGAATCCTGCACAGCCCGGCGCGGCCAGGTCCTGGCGTGTCTTCCGCTCGGCTTCCTCTCGCTCTGGTTAAACGTGAAACATTTGAACACCTAAGATTGAGCTGTGGGAGCAAGACGCCGCCAAGCCAGCCTCACACCCGGAGCGCCCGGAAGGCCTGGAGATTGCTTGTGAAGCAGCCCACGTCAGGTTTCCGCGACTCGTGGGATCCGGGGCATGGAGGTGCTGGAAGCTCAGGGAAACTAAGGGTGCATTTTTTTTGTATGACTGTGCACACCCATTGCCGGCAGAAGAATGTGAGGTCTGGTCCCATGCAGGCGGCCTTGTCGCAGGAAAACCAGCTTCTGGACAGCCTGAAACTCACATTCGTGCATGAACACTTGCACCGGGACGGTGCAGCGTGAAGGCCTGGAACTAAGCTGAGGCATCAACACTGTGCGGTTTGACATTATTCCATCACAGCCAATCGGCAATGTCCCCAACACCCGATTGCGCGTTCTGGCAGGGACCCGAGAATCTGCCGCGTATCTGAGCTGTGGAGCTTCATCTCTTTCTCTTCTCTCCAGGCTCCACCTGGCTTCTTCATCATCAAGCGATGCAGGGCGCAAAGGGCATCTGTTGGTATGGCATGCACAATTTCTGGAATAAGTTCTCTGGTGGGTGTGCATGGGTGTACGTTTTTTTCTGGCTGTGGTGGCAAACCACGATCTGTCTTGTCGAGTCCGTAAAGCAAGGGGAACACGAGGAGGTTATTGCCTTTCTGTTGAGGTCTGAACTTCATGCCGATTGAGCTGCCAGATGCAGAATGTATAGGTGACCCGGCCGACGAGCACATCGAAGATGAGTCAAGAAGTGATGGGTGATTTCATGGCCTCGGAGGATCCGATTCCAACTCCTTTGAGCTGGTCTTCTCGGAGCCCGGCGGGGGTGTTTCTTCCATCTGATGCGTTGCTCCTAGACATCAGTCAGTATTCAATGAGCTCCAGGCGCAATCCAGGCAGGCGTGCAGTATTCCTTCTCGCTGCAGGCTGGAACAGAGCGAGACAAGCGCAGAGAGGTTTCCAGCATGTCACTTCGCATCTGTCGCCAGATGCAGAACCCAGTTGACTACATACCTGATGACCTGAACGTATGGTCTTTCGACACGCTGAGACCAGACGGAGTTGCTCGAGTTTGGGTCCTAAACGTTTTGCACCAGCGAAGCTCCAAGACATGGGTAGCACGGCACATCTCTTCAACCAGCAGAGCTCAGGACACGGCCCGTTCTCCGGGCTTCTTCCTGTATCCATACGCGCCACTAGATCGAGTTTAAAGGTCTACAATCGGTCATCATTCACGCAGCGATCGGTGTCCTGGTCGAGCCAAGGTTCTCATCCTTTGTGGTTGTGGCGCTCATGCGCAAGGCCGATGACTAAGCCGCTCCTCCGAGCGCGCTGGTGCATTAGGTGGCAGAGGCTTTTGAAAGAGCAGGGATGCTGCGGCCAATACTCAGTAGATTTTACAAGACTGGCTTTGTCACCGCCCTTTGCTTCGCAGCCTGGCCCACAAACTGTGGTGATCCGCTTTGTGTCGCCACTGCCAGGGTCTTACAATTTTTTTGCTGTTCCGCATGCCAGCATGCCAGCATGGCGAAAGAGTAGGCAGATTCCAGGCTGATTCCCTTCGACGACTACATTCGCATTCGTGCTCCAGAAGGGGTCGCCTGGTACACTGCTGACCTGCAGTTCAGCACGGAAGCTGCGGCGGACTCGGGCGCGTTCTTCATGAAAACACCGTGTCGAACAGATATGTCTCGGATACGAGGCGCTGACACAAGCAAACCTCCTTGGAGCTCAAGACCCCACTGTTGAGTTTGAAACACCAAATGCCTTCGACTCGGCCGGTGTGTTTGATGTCAGTCGGAGTCCCTGTTAACTCCCAACCAATCTGAGGAGCTGGCGGTTCAACTCACCACGACTGCTGAAGCCAACTTCGAGCTCTGAGCCCAGTTCGACGGATATTGATATGTATTACTGTATTCTTGATTTTGCAGTTCAGGCTGTGACTATACGGAGAATGACAAGTTGCTGCGTGACGGTGTGACAGTATGCATCCAACGCAGGTATGGTATGGCAGCGCGTGCTGAAATTCCACAATCCACGTTCTCCGCTCGGACGATGTGTTTCTTGTAAAAGCTTGCCGACGTTTGTGGTTTGACAGGCCTGTGCCCAATGCATGGTGGATTGAACAGTTCCAGCCTTGGCTAGCCGGCCAGCCTTCGTGCATTCGTTCGAAGATGTTCGAAGTCTCAGAAGATGATATTTTTCTCAGCCCCGCGATTGCGAGGTATCGTCGAACGGGCCTTCCGGCGCCGAACAGCTGGAGATACATCGCTTCAAAAGGTGCTGCAGGATTCAAGACGCAAGTCTTGGTGAACACAAGAGCACGCAAGCTCAGTTTCCCAGCCGTGCAACTGTCCCAATTGTCCCATAGATTAATTCAACGTGTCTGAGGTGGACCCGTTCAACATCGTAGCAGAGGGCTGGCAGAATCCGACTCTCTTTGTGCCTGGGCGGATTCATGATTCCTACCAGCCTGGACCAGAACAGTACCGGACTTGAACCTGTGTATTGAGTTGAAAGACACTGCGCCAGGAGTGCAAACGCTCACACCGCCGGCATGCAGATTAGATTTGCCCTCCGCCAAGATAGCGTAGAAACAACAGCTATGCCGTGGATCAAACCGAAACTTTGGAAAATGCCTGATAGCGGTTCTCTGGTCCCTGGTATTTCGATGGTCCTCTGTGGTTCGGTGGCCCAAGTGCAAGCAGAGCAGTTTTTGCAGCATCTGTTCGTTTTCTGTTGTTTGATCCCTTTCCGGTTCCTTATCCTGGCCGTCTGGTTCTAAGGTCCCCTCCCTGGTCCTGGCCTTGACTCGTAATGATGGATCATCTGATCTCGAAGGTTTGCATGTCGTTCATAACTCTCTGGTTTTTTGTGGTAACGGCATTGTCAGCGCAAGCGATGACAACTTGCCGGTAACGCATGCAACTCCTTGGATAGGGACGAAAGCCAGACCTGCATACCTTATTGTTGTATTCGGATGTGTGTGTGCGAGGAAGCGAGGAAGTTAATTTGCCTTGGCAACTTGTCAAGGCCTTGGAATGTTCACTGGCACAGCAGTCGTTGAGTGCACATTGCAACTTCCTAATGATACGCGTCAAAAACGTATCATGGGGATAAACAGGGAGGCCACTCATGCCTGCCCTGCACGCCGTTTCCCCAGATGCGCCCACTGCATCCCGCTGTCACAGTCGAGAGTGCGTATGTGAGAGAGAGAGAGAGAACGCACGTTTACGACTAGAAGCAAAGAATATCGATAGGACCCTAGAAGCTATCAAATGTATGACAGGTCTGGATACAGCATAAGCAGAGCTCAAAGCCACCCACCAACGAGATGTCTCTCAATAAAACCACGCACGAAAAGCGGGACCGCTGCGGGATCACTGCCACTCGGCAATCCTGGCCTATGGTTCGGCTTTGCCAACACCCGCAAAACTGGGCACCGACCAGCCCAGTTGCGGTGAAATGAAGTGATGAAAGGCCAAGTTGGTTAGACCAAGAAGTCCGTCTCACAGAGAGGCTGTAGGAGCACCGCCACAGAGACTTTGGCATGCAAAGGGACTGCCATGTGGGAGCCAAAACACCAGTAGAGAATCCCACTGTCAGGTGTTTGAGACGACAATGGAAGTCTGGAACTCAGCGGATGTTCAGCTTTCTTTTGCGCGCAGCTGCACTTGCAGACCTTGGCTTGCCCACTTCGCCTGTCACGGTCGTAATGTCCGAGCTTGCAGGTCATGCCGTTCCTGCGAGCTACGGCATCAGGGTGCGATGCGAGCCTATGCACATGCTGCATGTGTAGCCTTCAACCGCGATAGGACAGAGCTCATACCTGCGATGCTCCTGGTGGAAGCACCGCCCGGGCAGATGCCTCGTGAGACCGATTTGACTTGCCATCACTGAACCGTATTCCCGAGGTTCACCTACATTTGCCCATTGTCGCCAACTGTGTATATGCCGACATACTCTATCTCGTTGCCGAGCGACGTGACGTGCAACGTGGATCACAACACCTTGGCCAACCGAAACAAGCACCTTGGTTCGAGTTGGCATTTGTTGCAACGCTCTGTGCATCTCTGCTTGGGCTGTCGAGGCTTTTCCTGGAGCTCCCTTCAGGTGTGCAGGTGAGGAGATCTCAGCCTGAACTTGCCGTGCTAACTCTCGCAGCACCAAGGGAGATACACGATATGCCTTCACGATCGACGTTGTGAATGCGAGGTCGGAGTCAGCTCAGTTACATTTGCTCGTTGAGGATGGGATGTTCCAGCCTGGAGGTTCATTGACCCTCTGCGAAACTTCTTCCGATTGGCCACGATGCTTGATGGTGAGGCACGACAGCGCTTAACTAGCAACAGCCGGGAAGCCAGCACATTTGTGAAGATGGCACAATCAGTGCTGTCACATGCTGACCACGCTTTTGCGGCCTGTACACGAAGCCGATCCGGCTCCGCATGCGCCAAGTCAGAGAGCAAAAGCCATGCCGGCATACCCGTGAGCCACGTCGCTGATGCTTTCAAGGGCTGCCTGGCATTGGTTATTGTTTCCGGGAGAGGGGGATGGCCACAAAAGGTTACCGGAACATTCGGCAACATCAGGGTAGCATTTCGGCGGCCGCGCGAGTTGCCAGAGACACGTTTCCCTGTGCTCCGTGCAACATTCCACGCTTTCTAATCTTCGTTTGTATCACAGGGGCATGTGAGATGTTGTTGGAGAACCATATAAACCGACACGAAGCTGTTGAGGGCTGCCTCCACGGCATCAATGTTTGCGCCAGGGCTTTGGGCTTCGAGGTCTCTGTTGCAAGGCGAGCATTCGTTTCGACTTTCATGGAGTTTTCACGGGATTGTTCGGACTGTTCTGACATGCACATACATGCACCATAAGGTCCTGCTTCCAGGCCCATAGAGTAGTGCCAAGGTCGGGTTATTGGGGGATTACGGATACATCGTTGGCAACATTTTCCATGTCCGCCCCCCCCATTCAGCCCAGGGCCATCCCGACATGTTGCGCCAGTGTCTTCGGGGTGCCCATCGCTCACATGCGAAAGCAATTTCATACACAAGCGTGTTGCACCCAAGTCCATCGCTTCCAACAAAAACGTGTTGCACACTGAGGCCACAACACTTGCGGCGCTTATCCTGTGTGCCAGCCGTGGCCACGCAAGGACCTGCTCAAGCCTGCAGCAATACGACCCTCGGAATACGGGTAGATGAGGAACTGGTTGAAGCCCTTCGCGTAGTCTTCTAATGCTTCTAATGTCCGTCCCCACGACAAGGAGTTCAGCTTCCGTTTTAGCTCAGGTCGATTGGGCTCTCGTATGGACATCAAACTGCCGGCCTAGCGGAATCGTGGATACGAACTTCTCTTGGTTTGACACGTGCACTTGGATTGATTGCGACTGTTTGTGGGGTGCCTTGTCTGCGCCAGTGGCCACCGACGAGCTGGCACCCTGTCTGGAGGAATCTGTTGCTAAGCAGCTGCTGGGTCAGGAGTCTCAGCATTGAAAAGCAGCCTGTTCGACCATCGAATCATTCACCCGGTTTTTTCGCGGCTGCTGTTGTGCAGCAGGCCCGCGCTTGAATTCGTCGTCCACTCCCCATCGGTTTGTTTTTGTCAACTTGAACCGACCACAGTGGCTAAAATTCAGACTATGCCTATGCACTTGGCCTTGGGTACTGAATAGCAAGCAGTCGCTTGCTATAGCGTGCGGAGGCAGCCTTAACGCTTTAAGGGTTTCCCTGATGATCATGTTGCTGGAGACAATGCAGTGGGCAGCTGTACTTTGAGTTGTGTTCTTGAATTGAAGTGACTATGAGCTTGCCAACTCTGACACACATGTTTGCCTAGTCCAAGGAGACGAAATGGTTCCTGACTTCGCTATTCAGAACTTGCAGGACGCAAACCGACGAGCTATCCAAGCCGTGCGGCAAATGCGACAAATACAGAGATTTCAATCAATGCGGAGCACTTGAATGAATTTCAAAAGCGGTTTCAAAGGGTGCATGGCGGTGCGGACGATGCCTGCAGCTAGTCCTGCAGCTTACTTGTTCCATGTCACCAGTTGGTCATGTCGTTTCACTCCCACACATAGTGTAAGAAGTCTCACCCCAGCCTGCATGCTCACAATCACCCGGCGGCCAGAATCCGCAATGAGCGTACCTTGGCGACCCACTTCACGGAAGTTGGCTTGTGAGAGGGGCACCGGCAGTGCCCTGCAGCACACTGCTTCCTGCATTTCGCGTGTCAGGTCGTCGAAGAAGGACAGGCAGCCGGCTTTCAGACAGAAGCCCAGATAGAACATCAAGAGACAAGACAATCTGATGGATGGCGGTGCCCTTCACTCACTCCACGCAGTTTTAGCATTCCCAAGGCTCGCCCAGAGGATGGACAACACACGCTACATGCAGTTTGAAATTCGGGAGGACTGATTCTTTGTACTGGCGGTCTGGCCTTCAAAGCGCACCGCACTGACCTGTCAGGACCGCGTGGTTGAAGCAACATCAAATGCCGCTGGCTTGAAATTTCTGCAGACGTCGCTTGTTTTTGCAGTCTCCATGACGGAGCGGGCTTGCAAGGTGGTCTCGTTTGTGATTGGCACAACCCTGGCTGTCACGGAACCTTCAGTGCCGTGGCACGTTCTTGATGATCTTCAGTGCAGCCGGTCTTGCCAGCAACCGCTGCCTGTCACAATCCGCGTTGAATTAGTGCTTACCCCGAGGTTCTGGAGGTCCGCGCTCCTGTCACGGTCTTAGGTCTTTGCTGGTATGACTCAAGTTCACTCAAGTTCTTGCTGACTTACGGCTTAGCCAAATGTCATGATGTCACTCTGATCTGTGCTGAGATCGGGTTCATTTTCGCGGATGCCTGCGATGGCTTGGCTCGGCTGCCCAGTTCATGGCGCTGTAGAGGAACAGCGACAGTAGAGTTAGGAGGAGAGGCCGGAAGGCAGATCTAAGAGCGTAGCATCGCAAAGAAGGCTTGTTAATTGTTAGTACAAATCCAGGCAGTGTGGCGATTTGCCGAAACATGTTTAGGTTGGCTGGGCCACGTGGATACCATTGATGCGCATCGGGCCACAAATGGATTTATGTCCGGCCTTCAGCTGCCGTGGATGCACGAAGTTCACGAAGTGAACACGAAGTGAAGTGGAATTGAATTTGCGGCTCGAGGCCAGGGAATGGGCGCAGCAGATGCCAGCATGCAGCACATTGCAAGAGTCACGATCGACAAGCCCTCAGCTGCTGCGACTCCTGGCTTGTCACCAGTGCCTTCCTTTTTCTAAGCTTTGAATGGCTAAGTCGGGCTCGTGGGAACTTGGAGACTACGGACTTTTTGCAACGGCCGGGCTCTCACACAAGAAGCCCTTCACCGTTCCTATGCGACTGCCCATGTTGAGACGAGGTGCAGAATCCCATGTTTACCCCAGCACGAAACTTTTGGGGCTTTACGCGATCTGCTCAGTTTCTCCCAGCATGTCTTCAACCTTGGACATTCGCAGCGACTCTGCAGAGCTTCCCACGCAAGTTTGGCTTTTTGAGACACTTCGAGGATTTATGACAGCAACATGTTGCCCCTCATGTCGGAGTCTTGGGTGCTGCCCTTAGAGCAGTCATGGACAAGTTGCGACGACGTTACTACCATAGACTGTTAGGCTTGTTCGAGTTCTGTTTCAGGTGTTCGGCTTCCAGATCCAGGTGGTGCAGCTTTCCCAGATATCCTGCGCAACCTGAAATCGACAATTTTGCCGGCCACCACCCAGCATATCAGGTTGGACCCACGGCTAAAAGCTTACAACCAAGGCAACGGCACCAGCCTCAGTCGAAACTTCCTCAGCTCAGTACCCTCGACAGATGCCTCTTCGAGGTGTTGACGGCGAGGCTGCCATCAACTATGTGGACATCAGTTTCATGCTGAGCACGAGGCGGATATCCCCAAGTCCGAGTTGCAAAGGGTATTGCATCCAGACAGGTTTGCACGGAAAAAGTGTCAAGGAAAAATAAAATATCTGCTGTCAACAATTAAGCGTGTCCCAAGTTTAGTCAAGCTTACGAACTAGCAGTCCCATTGCTGGCTACAGGATTCCACCGGAACCCAGCCGCGCACATTCGATAGCAGTTCCCTGAGCACACAGGAAAGCTCCAGCAGTTCCTGCATCATGCGGAACAAATTTGCTGTGGGATCTTGAGGTTGTGACAGCTCCGACTGGCTTCTTCTTTCCCAGCATCTGCCGGGTTCTAAGCAGACCCTTGTTCCGACCATATCCTTGCATGGACCTTGATAATTAAACTGATTCAGAGAGAGTAGCCATGGACCTTCCCCTTTGTGTGGGGGAAAACGGCCCGGGGAAGTCTCGATCCCAACCACAAAGGCGGCGCAACTCGCGCCTCGCCAACCCATCCCAAGCGGCATGTTCTGTCTGCACCACTCCAAGTCATCCGGCATGGCCGTGCCTTGATTGGTTTTGCATTTTACCGACGGCTCAGAGGTTTTGGGTGATTTGCTGCTGCACGGAAACAGTCTACGATCATGTGCAGGTTGACGCACCCAGCTCAGCTGTGGTAGAGGGGCAGCTTGCCTGCTCGGCCAACATGCCCCTACCAAAAGGTTGGCAAAACAGGGTGCAATTGATAACCCGGGCGCTCTCACCATAAATGTCCCTGAAGCACAAACAGCGCCGCTGTTCGCTAGTGGTAGAACACAAGCTCCCACGAGGTCCAACTCTAGAAGAAGCAAGCGTTGTATATCGAATGTACATGTGTACATCGGCTTTGTTCCGTGCCCAAGCCGGGCTCAGCACCCTTGCACCGTCATGCTGGCAAACAAGCCTCTTTGCACAAGTGGCATTCTGCTTCTGCATGTCGAGTTTACATCGCAGTTTCACCATGCCAACTTGAGGTCAGAGCTTCACGATCGACACATTTACGCCACATCCTGGGCTTGTCAAGCAGCTTCCCACCGTTCGCAAGTTCCGCATGTGTTCTTTTGCAATACCGGGTCGCCGGCTTGCAGGCCGGGCTTCATTGGATTGCCGAAAGGATCTGGCTGTGAGGGAAACAATGGCAACGTCCTACAGCCCATGCCTCGGCTTTCTTACGGTCGCGTGCACAGCTCAACAGCTGACAGCGTTTGCCTTTGAGGGTGACCGTCCCCTTCATGCGCGAGCTTCGGCGGCGGACTCAAAACGATCTCGCAACATGAACTCGCACCACAAGTCTCGTTGCCATGCTTGATGCCATGCCAAGGAACGAGACCTACTACATGTTCAGAGCTTTGGTGGTGAACCCCCGGGAGACCTTCTTGAACATCGATTCACCAGCAACTCAGCTGAATGGCATTCAATAGCCTTTGCTTACCTTTTGTGTTTCGGTTGTGTGTCTCTGAATTCCTGCCTGCGCGAACACAGTTCGCAAGGGTCCTGTGTCTGAAACGGCAGGGGCCCAACGAAGAGGCATCTACGATGAGTGCATGCGTCGGCCAATGAAGACAGTGAATTCCTGTGCATGTCCTGTGGGCAAACATTGCAGCAACTGAAAATCATTCAATACACTACGTAAAGATCCAGTTGGCATTAGTTGGCAGTGGAAGTCACCGTTGGCGTCGCATTCATTTCGACCGTCGCTTGTCCAAGTTTGCGTGTCTGTGTGCGCATGAACGGAAAACCCTGTGGGATCCTGACCTTGTTTCCCTTCTCTCTCTCTCTCTCTCACTCTGTGAGTATCTCTCTCTCTCGCTCTCTTCCCGGCCTTCCTCTCTGAGAGTCCGTGTTCCCGTCCGCTCAGGAGAAGTATTGGCGCATTGAGTCACGAGCCGGAGGCATGGAGCTCGTCGACCTGAACAGGGTAATCCCCTCCTTTGCGATATACCCGCGATTGTCGCGTCCTCAGCCTTGCTCCGGATGCTCCCACGGTCCGACACTTTTGGGCCACTACTCTCGCTTTGGTTTTCAACGATCCGTACTGGTAGTTATGAGTGAAGCCGGTGCGGTTTGGCAGTTTCAGCGAGTACTGCGTGGTGTCCAGCATGTTAAAGTTACCTCGTCTAACAACGACGAAGCCACGAGCCGGTCAAGCCAGACTACGGAAATCTCCTTGAGCCGGGAGCAGATTGAAATATTTGTTATCCTGCTAACTGCTGTAGTTTGTCCTACTTGGCGGGCTGCTGCGGGCTGACATGATGGCGCACATTTGTTTGAGGCGATACTTCGCGGTGGCTGCCTTGTCGCAGGCCACGAACCGACCGGGCTGCGCGCGAAGTGGGGACGGGCCTTCTCCGCTAGGTGGGCCTGGCATCTACGACCTACCGGATCCACTTCCGAACGGCACGGGCCACAAGGGGCCGAACTTCGGCAGAAGGTGAAGAAGGGTGTTGACCTGATGTTGTTCACGCTTGAGGACCAATCGTTGCCACCACAGCCTGAGCCTCAGCTCAATTTTCAACAGGCCCGGCCTGCCTTGTGCCACATGAAAGGCAGACCGTGCATATCCACCCACCCACGGGGACCACTTTCGGTGGTCTTACCGATGGCACATGCATTGACACCGCAAGGGCCCCAACTGCAGTCAAGTTCAAAGCCGAGCCCATGTTCAATTGAGAGGATCCCGTGCTGCTCAGCCTTCAATTCCCGACTCCACTGATTTCGCGGGTGCTGCTCTCGGATCCCGCTGCGACTAAGTGCGTGCTAACACCCCAAATATCATTCTACTGTTGTGCCACTCGTCAAGGTAACTCGCTTGCCCGAGTGGGTTTCCTGCCGGGTAGTGAGCTCGACAGAGCCAGACCCCTGAGCCTTTAAGCTTGCACGCCACTGAATCCAATGAATCCCGTGAATCCCGCTCAGGCTGATGCTACGCAACGAAGAGCCCATCTTGGGCGGTCGTCCGCTGATCTCTGGCCCCTGCCTTATCATCAGGACGGTTGGTGACATGTCTGCGCACTTCGTGCTCCAACCAGGTCCTGTCTTCGAGTTTTTTGTCATGAATGCGACAAATGCGGAGAGCACGCCACAGCTCAATCTGTTCCAGATCGAAGTCACGTGGCCCAAAATACTAGAGTCGATAGAGTTTGCGACTTGTGCAGATCGCAAAGACCTGCCGTGTGCACTGCAGATTGCACTGCCGGACACAGGCCATCACAAGCACGGCGATGGGGAAGGAGGTCTCCTGCTCGGTATGGGTGGGAACTCTGGGTCCGCGCCACCGGCGTGGCACGAGGTTTGGACAGCACCGGGCTGGGTTATCTACCCGGAACTTACCATGACGTCAGTGGAGACGGCCAATCCTGGCTACGGACTGCACGGACCACAGACATCACCAGATGGAAAGTGGTACTAGAGCTCCTCTGTAAGTGAGGTACACGAACTTCACCCTTACGCTGCAAACTGTTACAGAGGCCGAGTGCAGGAATGGAGGGAGCGGGATAGCACAAGTTCGGTTGGATCTACATGGTCCGGCTCTGCCGCAAGGTGCCATCCGGTGGCTCGATTCGAATCATTGCGCCTGACGACTATTACTTTGGGCCGCTGATTGAAACAGCAGATACCCGTCTGGGCCTTAGTCCGAACTGTGTTCTGCTTTCACCGGCTCTCTTCGGGCTTCAGGGCTCCATCGTCGATATTCAGTGCATGTTAGTGGTATTGCTCCTCTGTCACACAACAGTCTTGCAAGTGTCCTCAAATGATTGACCGGCTCGTCACATGCGCCGAACCTGCGGGCTGCACGGGATGCCTGCGCAGTTGCTTCTCGATAGAAGTGATTTTCCTGGATGTTGCACGATTTGCTTATTCTGGAAGACGTGGAAGCTACAGTAGCTGTTGCTAGGTTGCTGGAAGAGTGCGTGAGATGCCGTGCAGGGCCAGGAAAGTGGCTAGTGAACGGTGAGTGACTCCCAGGAAGCAAGATTCCTTCCCCCCACCGACAGGCCCCACCAAGCAGCAATTCCGATCGCTCGCTGAAAAAGTCAGCTCGGTTCCCTGCTGTATTCATTACGGCCTACAGGTGTTGAGGTTGACTGGCTCGAGGGTAGGAGACTCGGTGCAGCAGGGTAGAGAGCTGTTTTCTGTTGAAAGGAAAATGCTGAAGCAAATTGCAATGCTGTCTGCGGACTACTTATTTCCAGGTCCAAGTTTCCCAGATGCTTGAGATGTAGTAGGGAGGAAGCGAAAGGGACGTGACGGGGCAAATGCAGATATCTCGCGACATTGGATATCCCGGAAGCCCAAAGCCTCAGTCAAGGTCTCGCACGTACAGCGAGCAGAGACGACGAGAGACGGGAGGGGGCCGGGGGAGAGAGAACTCAGATGGATGACTGGGGAAGCCTCTACCCTGGAACAGATAGGATGTGGCACTCTTGCCCGACAGAGGGAAGGGTGCGCATCTCCGGGGAGACACCCATCTTAGAGCCGCCCTCTCGGCTCCCGCCCTCTGGAAGGCTGCCAAGTTCCAACATGTTACATTGGGCAACTTACGAATGAGTATTTCGCATCGTGTTTTGGGGTCGCGGCAACGATAAGTGGATTTATGTAGGTTCCAGCACTCTGCTGACTGGACAGCCAGCCAGGGTGAACTATTGAACGGGTTCTCACATATTCACGTTTATCGCTGAGCCGCACAGGGTACGATCCACTGGAGTCGGAACCAGCACCACAAGGGGCCGGACAGGAGAGCTTTGTCAGCACGTCGCTTTGTAGCACTGCAAGGGTTTGCGGCGGCTTCCGACTTCGCAGGAGCGCCCTCCAGCACAAAGAGCCCTCACCCAAGAACAAAGAAGGTGTAGGCCGTGTAGGATAGCGGAGATGACCGCCGGAGCCTGATGGAAAGGTCACGATTTGCCACATCCTCCGAACCATGGCCTGGACAGGGCCACAGACATTTGGAAGCGCCAAGTGCCCCACCATCGCAGCAGTGATCCACAACTCGCCTTGAGGGCATGCGCGCTGGAGTTCACCCCTTGCGTCATCATGGACGAACTGGACGAGCTGAGAACGCTTGGCGAGCCGTCTCAGATTTCCAGCCGCTGGTACAGGGGCTTGAAGTTGCGACGGCCGGCCCTGATCCAAGGCATGGTGCTCTCACCCTCGCAAGAGGATGCCTGGCGGACGAATCGGACTCTGTGCTTGGATATGAGGCCATCCTTCATGCAAGCGCAGTTCCACTTTAAGTGTTTCCCTGCAGCGAGTGAGGTCAAAATGTGACCCTGGAGGAAGGCTTTCAGACCTCATATCCTGTGAAAGCCAGGCAGGCACACTCTGCAACATTCGCGCGCATGTCTCCGGTCCATGCTCGCAGGGCAGCACCTTGGATCTCTACGTGGCACCACAAGTCTTCTTGCCGTCTCGGCGAATCTTTCGCTTTTTGATCCAAGGCGAGGTCCGGGTCTCAGGTGACACGCTCTTGAGGCATCATGTACATTCTCTCCAGGTTACAATGCACGAAATCCTCCTACAAGTGCTGCTGCGAATTCGTCGCGATCCTTAGATCCCAAGCAGGAAAACATCACGGGGTCCGTAGTTCCTCTTGTGGTGCTGCAAATTCCGAATCCAAGCGCTGAGGTGGCATTTCATGACGCGGAACTCAGACAGACCCGGCCTCAGACCACGATGGCGGGCAAGGGCACTCCCGATTCTTGAGCAAAACTGAACAGGGGAGAAGGGGTTAAAGCTGACTGTAAAGTTGAATCACTGTTGAATCTTCAAGGTGAGAAGACGATCTTGGATGAGAAGCCACAGGTGTTTCAACCTCAGTACCTTCTTCCGCCAGAGAATGCCCCAGCTGAGCCGATTTCATGCGAGGCCTGGAGTGTCCCTCATCGGAATCGTATCCGTGGATTCCATTGTGCCATCAAACACGAAGGCCAGCAGCTTGTGACAGTGTGAACATCTCCGAGGGTACAGTGGCTTGAGGTAAGTAGCATTGAGAACTACGTGACCGTGACACTGCGGTTGGCTACGCAGTGCGACGGCCAAGCGAGCAGTGCTTGGCATATTCCGAGCTGACAGCATGTGTTGGGCTCCGAGCTGCTAGATGAGTCGAGCTGGACGAAGTCAAAACCACAGAAAGTCAACTTCACACGACAGAGCTCAGCCATGACTGCAATGCTCACTGCTAAGTGTCGTCTCTAGGGCTCTAGGGATTGCATTGCTCTATTGACTGCCGTCGAAGTTCATGGCACTTGCGACAGAAGAGCAAGAAAAGCAGAAGGCTCAGCACGTCTGCCACTGACAAATCATGCATGTCGCGAGAAAAAAAAGCAAGCTTAAACGGGACGGACCAAGGCTGGCCGAAGTCCAGGAGTGGGCCTGTGGCATTTTCGCCGCCCCGGGGAAGGCACGGAAGGTTGCACGCCGCCAAGCTGAGGCAGCTGCTGCACCTTGTATTGACTCCAGATCTTAGTGGCCCGGAGGGAACTCTTTTCATGCTGGAGAAGGCATGATCGCGGGACGACATGTACAGTGCACTTGAGGCCGTACTTGGAGGTGGAGTTGGTGGAGGATTTACGTGGCCAGATTCTGACCAAGCAACAGCTGCGCCTCTTTGCTTCATTGACTTCACCCACATTCTTGGATGGATTGGTGTCCTGAGTGGGGCCCGTCAGGTTGGCATTGCAATTGGATTCCGGCCCTGTCAAGCGTCGAGCCACCCACATGCTCCGGTCCGGTGCTACCTACCTGCAGAGGGATTTAGACTGTCGTACTCGGCCATGTTCTGTGTGCAACAGATTCATCAACGCATTTTTCAGCAGATAGCACGAGTTGTAGAGATGCGGTCAGGTGAAAGAGTTTTTCGTCAACTCGGAGTCCCTGACTAGCTGAGCTGTGCATGAGCTATGAAAGATTCTCCTCGCATCCTTGACAATTTTTCAGCCCAGCCAATCTGACAAAACTTCTGCTTCTGCAAGCAGCTGAAGATCGACATCCTGAACAGTTGCAACGCATACATTTTCGCGTGACGCAAAAATGACGGAGGAATCGTCGGAGCAGCCCTGCAACTCCTGCCTTCAACTACGTCGTTAGTCAACTTACACCATTCGACGGACAGCGCAGCCATCACGATGAGAATCAGCCGGATGCAAAACTTGCACCCTATCAGATTGAGCGCCAGGCATGACACTTATTCATATGACCTTGGGGTGAACTTGAATTTTGAGCCGTTTACACATTTTGCATTTGCGATGCCGCCTCAGCGAATGCAAACGATCATGCTCTGCAGATCGTGCAACTCGGACTCCTAAGCCTGAGAACTTCAACTTCATGTTTATTATCACCCTCGAATGCAAATCTTTGAAGGAGGAGTGGGCACCGTCAGCAGGTCAGCGGCCGAGTTTGGTTCTCCAAGCGGCAGCCTACATCGGCTGGGGAACACGGTCCAGCTGGCATCCAAATGCCGCGAGCATGTTTGGAGCCACGAGAGTTCTGAAACCCTACTTGCAAGCCCGTGCGGCTCCCAAGACGGAAAGCACCAACTTCCAGCAAATCAGTGTAAGGTGCAGAAAGCTCAGAAAGCCGGCCAGCTGTCGTCGGACAATGTCGAACGGAGGACGACGGACTCGAACAGGGCTCTGGCAGCATTCCAGAAAGCGGCAGCCTGCGGCATTCCTATAGCTCACACAGATCATCCCTCGCGGTGCGTTTGGAATGACGAAATACAACTCGAAACCAACAATATGTTGAACTTCACGGCCCGAGAGATTCGATGCTTGTCGCACTGCTCGCATGCGCAAGTTCGGAAAGACGAGATCGGGCAATTCATCGAAATCCCGTGCAAAAGGTCCGATCCATCCTGTGGCGGGTTACAATGGCTTACTGTGATAGGGGAGGGCTCACACGGCCTGTTCAGACCCGAAGCGACAGGCCACAGATTGCAGTTTGCACAGAGTGCATTTGCGCACCAGCTGGCCCGCGGACAGACACATGCTTTTGGAGGAGGCACGTTTGTTTTGGATGCTGCCCACTAACAACTTCGCAACAGGTAGCTTTAAAATGTGGTCAAATTCAAAACGAGGCGATTTTTGTATCATTCTGTTACGAAAACTCGCTTCTTTGGAGCTGCAGGAGTTGCTGTTGCCGTTTACAGATTTGGCTTTGGGCGGGGGGGAACTTATTTTCTGATCAATTCGGTCTGCTGCTCTCTCGATCATACGGCGGGTAGAGCGGGCATTCCCGCCTCAAGGCCCCTCCTCCCCATCCCCCACTCAATGTGGCTTGAGCCTCGAGCGGTCAGTGCAACCAACAGACGCAATCGTTCGGCAAAGTAGCCGCAGCGCACATCTGCAGAACTGGAGACAGCAGCATTTCCTAAGATGGTTTCACGTTCGCGGCAGGCATCTTTCGCCTCGCTGCTGAAAATTCATGGGATAGCCGCTAGCCGTTTGCCTAGCAGTCCGCGACACAGTATACCACTTGCATTGTATTCTTCACATTGGATGACCAGCATCAGCTCGTATTTGCAATGCGCTGTTGCTAGCTCCGCCCCCCTAGCCTTCGTCCACTCCGATCTCACAAGTTGAGATACAGGTTTGTCAAGCACTTTCCTGGGCAGATGACGGAGGCCCCGGATCAGCCAGGCAGGATTTTCAGAGCTCAGCTGACACCTCATCCCCGGCCTCGTTTATTGTATCGTAGGCCCATCTTGAGCATGCACAGCTCCTCACCAGGTGCTCGGACCGCCTCAGCAACTTGGCCGTGGCACTGCACTCTCCGACTTCGTCCATCCGCATCCTGTGCGCAGCATCACGAGCAAGTGCCGGTCTTTGGCACAGTCTGAGAAATGGCATACTCTCCAGACAGGCTGTGCCTTAAATTGACTAAATGCAGATGCCAAGACTTTTTTGGTCAGCTTTTCCTGGATATGACCGTGACAGCCGAGGCTCTTTGTGCGAGCGAGGAAGAGCTTCTGGCATACGGCAGAAATGCAGAACGACGCATGTCGGAAAGAGACAAACTCGCGTGGCAACAGTGGAAAGTATCCAGACCAGATGAGGCTTCAGACCTTTCTGGCAGTGTTTGGACTTTGCCAGACACGGGAGGGCAGAAAGAAATCTCGGAATTTCAAGAGCCAGCGAAGATGACATCGCTGCGTCCCTATCAGTCCGAGGCTGTTGCTGCGGTTCAGACCGCATCGCCGTCGAACTGCTGTGTTGTATTGCCCTGTGGTGCTGGCAAGACCCGGGTCGGGGCAGCCATCACAGCACAGTTTTTGAATGAACATCCGAAAAGCTGTGTTGTTGTCCTGTGCCTCCGCCGTGAAGGTGTCCGGCAATGGTGCCGTGAATTGCTGCAGAACTGGGACTTAGGGGCTCTTGAGGTTGGTCAAGCCGGCGCCCATACGCTGCGAACCGCCAGGATACTGTTGGTAACATACCATCGTATGTTGTCTGAAAAGAGGCGTTCTCAGACCCCAAAGTCTTTGAACTGGGAAGACGATGGCATCGGTGAAGGAGGCGCTCTTGATGAAGACGCGGGGGGAGCAGTCGCTGCCCGCTTTCGCTCTTCATCCGAAGCACTGTTGATTGCCGATGAGTGCCACATGGTACCGGCACCAAAGATCTGCGAGCTCTTGGAGACATTACTAGAAAACAAGAAGGGCCGTAGGCTTGTTGGGCTGACAGCAACGCTTCTACGCGAGGGCGGCGCGGGCGTGAAAGGTGCGCCTGAAGGTGATGTTCCCTGGCCATTGCTTGGCACGTGCGTGTTCCGCGAAACCTTCGCAAACCTGGCCCCCGAGTTTCTCGCCCCGGTTCGATGCCTCGAGATTTCCGTACCAGTGGCCGGGGAATGGCGCAAGATGTTCCAGAGGCAGCCACTTGCAGCAGCTGTTTGCTTGTCCTACCAGAAGTGGGTTGTCCTAGAACACCTGCTTGCGAAGCATGCGGGCGAATCCATGTTGATCACAGTCGAGCGCTGTGAACAAGCCCGGCTGCTGGCCGCGATGTTTGGCATCATACCACTTGACGGCTCTGTTCCGGCTTCGCAAATGAAGGACTACCTTGAACGCTTCCGGCAGCGAAAAATTCTGGCACTGGTTGCCACACATGTTCTGGATGACAGCGCCGACTTCCCCGAGCTGTCTGAGCTTTGGCACTGATTGTTGAATCTGAAGTAGAAGCATCGGGCCAGTCACAAGCATGTTGCGGGCCTCGTCCATGCTCCTTCCCCTCAGCTCCCCTTACTTAATATAAGCGCTCCAGGTGATGATACAGATGGGCGGCCATTTCGCAAGCCGCAGGCAGGAGCAGCAGAGACTGGGGAGACTTCTCAGGTGGGGCCCCATCAAGCGGCAACGGTGGGAAGCCACCGGAGCAGCTCATCTTGCAAGATGTGAGTCAAAACCTAGTTGCATCTTTTAGATCAATCCTGGACTCCGATTGACCTCGTTGTTCCCATGATGTGCTTGCATCATGTTCTCGCGATCGTGTTTGCAGCGTTTGAACCACTCAAACTCGGATGCTTCAAGGCACCCGCAATAATGCAACTAGCAGACAAGTATACCTCAGCCTCTCATGCCGCGCTGCTTTGCGGAGGTCCTTTAACATGAGGTTTGGGAATCTGGACAACGTGTGACGGGATTTTTTGATATTTTTTGCGCGAGCTGCCAAGGAGCACGCATTTGTTGGGCCGTTGTCATGCGTAACGAGCACACACCTGCGCGAAGCTGTTTTGCTTCAGGAAGACCGCTGCAGAGTAGGAAGGTGCCGCCATGCCCGGTCCCCTGGTTCCTCTTCCGGGAGGACCAGGGCGCATGGAAAGCCCTTCCCGCTGTGTGCGGAGACTACTTGGAGCTGAAGCTCCTGGATGGAGAATGGCCCTTTCAAGGCATGGCCTCAGTGAGGGTCGAGGAGGGCGAAGACCCCGCCAGATACGGGGAGTGGCTTAAGGCAACTATCGTGGCCGTCTCAGGCGGCCATCCGCTGTGGTGGCTCGACGAGGGCGAAGGCTTTGGGGAGCAGCGGTACTTCGCCTTCCACCTCTGTGCCAAGAGACCCGACTCCTGTCAAGAGGGATCGAAAGGACACCCTCAAGTGTGAGTTCCAGCTGGAGGAGCTGGGGGGCTCTCGGCAGCCTGCTCGGCTGAATCGGACGGCAGCAGCTGCTGACCTTCAGTGGGCCCAGAGCAGTCGGCTCGGGCGACAAGCCGGTGGACCTGGACGCACAGTCCCAAGACCTGGCCAGGCATCTAAAGGACCCTGAACAAGCACCGAGACCAGTCGCCTGGCTGACGTACCAAAGACTCCCGTTCGCGGGAGAAACCTGCTGACCCCGTCGCTGAAGCCGAAGCTGCACTGGAGTCACTGGAGAGGAAGGGCTCTTCCTCGGGCAGGGGGGGCGCAGCAGGGAAAAGCCCCGGTCTAAGGACCAGAGGTCTGGGCAGAAGAATAAAAACATGAAAAAGATGAAAGAAGAGCCGTTTGCAAGCTCTGCCAAAGAGGCTCAAAAGAAGGGCAGCAAAAAGGAAGCCCGAGGTCGAGATCCACCCGACCACAACCCCGGCGAGCCAGCGTGTCGCCGAGACATGGTGGCTGGTGAGCGAGAGCGCCATTCCTCGCGACTTTCATCTCATCACCAACCGCACCGGGGCGGTGGAGAAGAGGAAGATGGTGAATGGAAAGGATCACCAACCTCATTCCCATCAATGAGTTCCTCGTTGCCCAGCCAGGGCCTCTCCTGCTGGAGGAGGGTCAGACCCTGGGGTCACCAGCGCCTTCAACAGCCTCTTCAAGATGCCAGATGTACGGCTGCCCTATTTCTCGTACGCCATGAAGGTCCCCTGGCGCATCTTCGGTTCCAGCGAAGAGTGGGTGAGACCGGCCCTAAGGGTCATTTGTATGGGCTGGTCTTCTGCAGTCACACCATCATGCAGGCCATCCTCAGCAAAGATCAGGGAGTTACGACACGACTCTTGGAGCGGTGGAGGAAGGGATTGCGAGCCCAAAGCATGAGAGAGTTCGGCCCGTGCCTAGAAAGAGGACGAGCGGATGCCGTCAGAGAGCAAGGGCACCATGGTTGTGGAGACGGAGAATCTGGAGCGATCTTCCAAGAGATTTTCTCTCTCATCGAGAGGGCTGAGGAAACGGCGGTAGCTCCCGAGCCACAATTCATGCGCGATGAGATGCTCCTTCCTGCTGCTCTTCCCTCTCGCTGGCACCTCGCTCGCTCCAGAAACTCCTCGGAGAGCTCCTGCCAAGTTTCGGGCCCCACCTTGCAGCACCTTCTCCATGGAGAGGGGCTGGCAAGCAGAGCTGAGCCCCGGCCGGTGGGTAGACACGCTTCCCGCCTTGCGTTAAGGCTCTCACCTGACTGGGCTTCCAGGCCTTCGAGGTGGGCCTTCAAGTCGTTGGGCAAATCCAGCGACGAGCACTGCCTGTGCTGTGTGTGCCACCGGTGGGACTCCTTTCTCTGGTCTAGCCAGAGGCTGAAAAGATCGGAATGTTTTTCCCCCCACTACCCTTCCTCTTTGCTGTTTTGGAGGGCGCACAACTCCCCTGCGGTGCATCGAGCCCTCCACAAGCCGGATCCTAGTACGACTCCTCCCCGCCACGGCGTGACATAATTTTTGCCTTCGCCATCAGGAAGCATATGGAGGAGGTCTGCCCCCTCATCCGGGGAAGCTTACGGATCGCGCCCTCGAGTGGCAGTTGATGGACCAGAGTGCGACGGCAAGCCTTGGTTCACCCGTTGTGGCGGAAATGGTTGCGGAGGCGCTGGCGCCGACCACTATCGTGGTACGGAGCTTCGCCTCATGGTTCCCTCAGGTCCGGACGACAACCTGAGGCTGCTGCCTTATCCAGCGCACCTTTGCAGGTGGAGAAACACGTTGTCTTTCGAAGACAACATCTCCACCGTGCAGCAAGAGGCTCAATCGGTTGGCAAGATGGGTGATGGCAGTTCAGCTTTAAGCCCGACTGCAAACGCTGGCACTCTGGACCATATCAGCTTGGAGCTTTGCTGACACGGCGTCCAGACGCTTTGCCCCGCACCATGGCCCCTTTGCTTCTGCGCCTCCAAGGGCCGAACACCAAATCCCGTGCCAACTATCGCCGAGCCTTGCTACGCTTCTTCGCTTTCCTTGAAACGGAGAGCCCTTGATTTCGCTCTTAGTGAATTCATGAATGAATCCTTCCAAGAAGGCGATTCACCGGGTATGCAGGTGCTGCCGGCACTACAGAGGTTTCTCCCCTGCGGTCGAGATTTTACAACGCCACCCCACCTATCCCAGCTTTCTTCCCTGTATCAAGGTGTACAAGCCTTCAAGGGCAACTCGTTTGCCTTGGCCCCTTGTCCAGGCCATGGCATGAGTTGCCTTCTCAGCGGGCAACAACGGCTGGATATCGCCCTCCTCGTGCAATTTGTTTTCTTCTTGCGTACTTCTGAAACTTACGGGTTGACGTGTCATGCCTGCGTTCCGGACACGTCGTGGTGGCACTGCCCCACACCAAAACAAGCCGAGGCAGGACACAAAGTGTTTCACTCTTTGACCCTTTTTTGTGCCGGTTACTTCCTCAGTGGCTGGCATCGTGTGTCGCCGATGCCCCTATCCTTGACTCCTCCATGCACATTTTTCGGGCAAGATTCCAGAAGCTTGTCGTCTTCCTGGGCCTCCCAGAAGGCACGTTTCTGCCCTATGGCTGCAGAAGAGGCGGGGCCACGTTTCACTGGCAGACCTCTCAGAACTTCCAAGCGACAATGCTCATTGGAAGATGGGCGGACCAAAAGACATGCTGTGTCTACTTGGATGAAGCCCGCACACTGTTGGTGCAACAACAGTTTCTGGTGTCTACCCTCCCTCACCTCTCTTCCCACGTGCAGCAATGCCCCTCAGCTTTTCACACGTGCTGTGGTACCACATTTGCGTCGGACGTTTTTGCGCGCGAAGCCGTTTTGCTTGCCACCCGTGCCCTCCCCGCACAGCTGTGCAGACCTGGGGAGGTTGCACCCACCGAAGTGCAGTTTCACCGGGGCTTGCCACCTGCGGGTCAGTCAAGGCTCCGAGTTTTGCCGAGAGCTCGTTGGCCCTCGGGGCCCTGCGGCTTTTCCCACGTGCTGTGGTAGCTCCACGGTGCGCTGACACAGACCGCTGCCTCGGTCACAAAAAACGCGCGGCTCTTGAGTCCAAAACTATTTGTCATGCCGACTTCTGCTTTGCGTTCACCTGCTGCAGCTACTTGCAGAGTCTTGCAAAAACAATGTGATAGGTCTCGGGCGGCTTAGGAATTCGATCTGCGCCAACAGTCGCCTTTTCGGTTAGCTTTCGCGCTGCCGGTTGTTGAAAGCTTTTCGGTGCGACAATCGGTCGACTGGACGGGTTGCTGGGACCCTGTGAAAGAACTATCCGGGACTATCCGTCGTTGGTTTGCCGGCAGGCGGCAAGCATCATTCCCAGTTCGCGGGATGGGATTGTTCCGAGCTCTGAAGTTCAAACTCTTGGTAGACATGCTGGACGATCTTGCGGCGATGTCTAACCCTGTTTCTCAAACGCTACTCGAGCATGATCTTCGCCGAGCCTCCTGGTGTTGATCCCATTTTAAGGGTGCTGACATCAGACCGGCGAAAAGTGTGATGCATTTGGGGACGCTACTACATCCAGCCCAACATGCAGGAAGTGAGTTGCAAAGCAGGCCTTGCTTCTGCTTACTTGCCCCGTATATAAATGTTGTCAGCAAACGAACTCGTTCTGGTCGCGATGCTGCGCTCATTGACACGTGCTTCATGCAAGCTGAGGCACGGCCTACGTTCTATGACTGGGGCTCAGTATTCCTTTAGCAGCTCACGTGCAAATTGGAAAGCGGCCTTGAATGGATTGAGGTGCTGGTGCATCAAGGCACTATAGAAGAGAAGATGAGTCGACATCGCACAAAGTCTGTCTTGGGCGTTCAATACGAGTGTGTGGACGCTTCCTCCGTGACATCTAGCCCAGAGTCATGCTTGGGTGGAGGAAGTGACTTCTTACATCCCGGGCTTACTGGCGAGAAGGGGAATGACTTCGAAAAGAAGCATTTGGAAGTCATGGTGAAAAACTACAGGAGTTGCCTGGAACTCTCGCAACATGTAGCAGCCAGCCTTCCACAGCGAACAGGTTGCCAGGGCACCCGAGAGTCTCGTCTTGCGGAGATCCGTCGATGGCTCAACGGCGAGTCCTTGGAAGATGGCATGCAGGTTCGGCAATGTGCGGGCTCGCTTCACACTCCTGAACCTATTTCCTCAGCGAACCTTCGAAGTGCGAAACTGCTTGTAGAGCCCGTAGTGAGCACATGTTCTGCAGAGTTCAAACGAGCTTCTTGTCCCTACCCAGACAGGCCTCTCCATCGACAGCATCTTCTAAGTCGTCATCGTCGGGCGGATCATCAGACTCATCAGGCAATAGCTCGGACAGCTCATCCCTGTCTACAGATTCCTCGAAGCGCTCTGAAGCAAATGCTGCAACGAAAGAGCTGGCTCCAAGCATTGCCGGAAGAAAGCGCAAAGCTTCCAACATCAAGGAATCAGCACACAGCAAAAGAGATGGCCGCCACGGTCGTGGTCGCGGTCGCCGTGCTCCCGGCTCCAAGGGTCGAGGCAGAAGCACCCTCAACAGCCTCTCAGTTTCTTTGCGTCCCGGGATCGAAGGTGTTCAGAGTGAGATAGACCTTACACCTACAGCAGCCACGGAGGAGAAACAACCAGAAGACAGTAAGATTTTTACGCAAATCCAAAAATCCGATCACTCGGCCTTTGCGATTGATTTGGAGTAGCCTGGAACTCCAGTGGCTGTATGATGCGGAGCAGATGTTGCGCATTTGCGACTGGTTGCGATGCGGTCATATCTGTACATAGTCGCCGAGCAGGCCAGCGGAGTCTGCACGTGACATGCCCGAATGCCGAAGACAGGCAAGCGGCTTTCTGCAGGCTTGTTGAAAAAGCACATTTCTGCGGCCGGCGGCACAAGGTGCTAGCTTTCTCTGTAGACAGCCCGAGGTGTGACCCTCGAGCCATTCTGCGCATCAAGTTCCCGGTGGAATACATGCGAGGCAGAGGGTGCAAGCACCAAGCGTGGTCTACATGGCACGTGGGCTACTTGATGTCGGTGGCAGGAGAGAATGCGGCCTTCTCCGGCCCTGCAATACAGCCAGGGCCCCGGTTAGTGTCATCAGTCCTGAGAAGCGCTGAGTTGTTCGACTCCCACTTCTGTTCCTCGCAAACACCACAGACCAAGGACTGGATTTACGTTTCCTCAGCAGGCAGGCTGTTCGGGACCGGCATGTCCGCGGGCCCTGCTCAGAGAAGATTTGATCGACTCTTCACCCGAGATGAATTTCACTGCGGGTAGATTGAGAGGAGAGAGAGCCAGAGGCTCGCAGAAAGAGACTAAGATCGAGGAGAAGAGTCCACACCAGTTGCAAAAAGCCGATCTGTCTCAGATTGCCACCCACAACTAGAGGAAGGGTGGCCACGACGTCAAGGAAAAGTGCCCCAGCATGCCGCAGCTGCAAGGGGTAAGGCAGGACAGTGACCACCGTGACCGCTTGAGAAATGCAACAAGGAATTGGATGCCGTGTGACAGGGCGGGGTCGTGGTCCAAGCAGACGCGCGACGGAACTTTGAGAGACAGCATCACCTTAAGGTATGTTAAAGTGCCCGACAGTGGTGGACAGCCGGTACTATGAACGGAAACCGCGCCTGCAGAAGCGAAAGCGGCGACTTCGCTCCACAAGCCTGGCTGGGGAGTAAACGGACATCAGAGGATGCCACGACGCGAGGAAGTGGCCGAGGAGGTGGTTTGCGGACGAGGCGGTGTGTCCCAACATGTGCAGGTCCACGGTCCACGTGCTATTTTGGGCACATGCAGGCGCAGAGGAAAAGTTCAGTGCCATGCATCTTAGAGCATGAGAGAAATAGTTTTGTTTGTTGTCCAGAGGAGCCCTGGTCACAGTTTAGCTGGACTGTAAGCAGATGCCGGAAAAAATAGCCGCTGGCTGAAGGCCTTTGCTCATCCGGCTGAATATGGATTTCAACAGCACATGCCAGCCGTAGACTGTGGTCAGACTCCATCAGAGAAACCTGTAGGGAGGGGAATGAATGATGTTCGAACAAGCAATGACCAAGATACTCTGGCCTCGCATATGTTTGCGGTTTCTGTTTCCTTCAATTCGAGCAGGTTGAACGGCGCCAGAGCTTGAATACGATTGAGCGTTGCCCCAAGCGACATGGGAGCTGTCTCCATGGGCTGCACATGCTCTGTCATCTTCAATCGGCTCGAATGGCAGGCGGGATGGATGGCAAGAAAACTTGGCTCAAGTCGCCCGAAGTTCCAAGTAGTTGAAAGCACGCTACCGGTCTCGGCAGCATGTTTGCACCATGGCATCACCATGGCAAAGAGGCAGCAGCTTGCCCCAGCTGGGTCAGGCAACCTCCCTCTCGGGCACCGCACGGCTAACAGTCGGAATCCTCAGCGCTGCCAACGGTTGAAACGCACTACCTCAAGGATTGACGAATGGCGACGGGCAGTGTTGCAGCTTGATGGCGCATGCATCCCATCATCTCTTCGGCAGGGATTTGGGAAGCTCGCGCATGCCAAGCAGTGGATGCAAGCGATTCTCCTGCTGTGTGGGGCTTCTGAAAGCAGTCTGCGCGTTGATGAAGCTGCATACAACTCCGTTGCGAGCGCATGCAACGGTGCACGCAGCCTGTCCATGGCATGGCGTGTTGCACTGAAGAATTTGATCCTTGTCAGGGAAGTTGGAATGAAAGCTGACAAGTTCTCGTATGGAATAGCTGCTGTTGCGTGTTCTGGGATGTCATTCTGGAGTCGGTCATGTCTTCTGCTGACTAATGCCAGAAGGGCATCTGTTCGTTTGGGCGCCATTGCTTGGAGTAGTGTCCTGGACGCGAACAGCAAAGCCGGCCGGTGGAAGAAGACGCAGGCGCTGCTCCAAGAGATGCGGAATGGAAGTGAAGCTCCTGACACGCAATGCATCAATGTGCAGATGAGCGCCATCAGCCGAGCAGCGGAGACGGAGAAATTGTGGCAAGTGAGTCTGGAGGTTCTGAAAACTGCTGCCGCTTCTATTGGAGTCGACGAGGTGTCCTTCAACACCGCACTGATGCTGTTAGACTCGTCCGACTCTGTTGATGACAAAGTCTGGTCGTTGATTTCCGCGATGCGAAAGGCGAGCATTCGTCCTTCGCAGGTAACATACGGCACAGCGTCCAGAGTATTTGGCATGTCCAGCTTGTGGAGCTCTTCACTGGAAGCCCTTCGCAATGGCTCCTGCATAGGGGTGGTCCCCAACATCGTGGCATGTGGTTCCACTCTGGATGCATGCCAACGATGTGCCGCTTGGTCCGTGGCATGTACGCTTTTGGAGGACATAAGCACGGCGCAGCTGCAAGCAAACGCTCCGGCCTGTGGAGCTGTGATCACTGCCGCCGGAAACAGTCACCAGTGGAGCCATACCCTTGCCATGCTGAGCCACGTGGAAAAGATGTCCATTGCAATCACGGCTCCGATCATTGGAGCGGCAATGTCAGCATGCCAGGGAGCTGCAGACGTGATGACTGTGAACCCGGACGCCAACATCAGAACCTTGTGGCAGCAGGTGCTGGGATTTTTCCGTCTGCAGGCTTCTGGCAGAGCGGATCTGCCCATGATTGGGAGCGCAGTCAGTGCATGCAGCAAGGGGGATAGGTGGGAGCAGGCGCTGGAATTGCTCACTTTCTCTGCGGCCTGGAGGGTTCAGCCTAGTCTCGTGGTAGTCAACTCCGCGCTGGACGGGATGGACCGAGCCGGGCACTGGGCTCAGGCTGCCGACCTTCTGTTTGGCCTCTCTCCGGCGACCGTCAGCCTTGATTCGCTGGGCCTCCGAAGCATGATGCAGGCGGCAGAGGCTAGTGGCATCACTGGACAGACCCTAGGACAAAGTCAGAAATGCTGTTGTACTGATGCTCAGCATATGTCGGCATATGCTGTGTCGCGAGACCCGCTGCACCCCAGTGCGAGCCCAACACAACCAAGGATGCCTGCGTTCCTGGCCAAGACTGAGCTTTGGATTCAGTCTGCCACCACCACTCTGAAGCCGAGCCTGGACCAGAAAGCTGACGTAGGCTTCCTGGTGGAAGCCCTTGACAGCGTACTAGAACATAGCGATGTCCAGGTCGCATGTTTGCGGCAGGTGCATTGTTGTTTGCTGCCAGCACTAACAGCACTTTCCCACAGACGATTCCACGTAAGAGATCACCCCCGAGCTTTACAGCGGCAGTCAAGCCTGGGACGCTTCTTTACAAAGCTTGTCTTGGAAGAGATACACACTGGTCGGGACATGAGGGCCAGCAGTTCTGAAGGCATGTGGAAGGCAGATGCCCGGCTGCGAGATTTCAGAGCACTCTTGGGCCTTCGGATGGTCGGGCGCGATCCAGCTGCCAAGAGTTTGGTGGCCTGCTGCTCTGGAGTGATCACATCTGGGCTCACGGCACCGCCCGAGCTCAGCTGCCGCTGGCGTCTACACGGCAGGTCGGACCTCGGGGTGTTGGCACATAGTCTCGCAGACGAAGTCGTGACGGCAGTGTACGTGGACCATGACAGACGACCTCATTGTGAACGTCAAGCCTTGCTTGGGCAATTGCAACATCTGCTCGCAGCGAAGGGGACGCCAAAAAATCGGTCCGCGGGCAAGTGGATGCCATGTTGCCGGTGATTACACGAAGCCCTGTAATGATAAATGCATTGTCACACCACGTCGCAACATCCAGGCTGGAGGCTATCGAAGAAGGTTATCCTGCAGATATCCCCCTCGCCGCCTCCTCATTGTTATCTGTTGAAGAATGAGCCTTTTAGCCAAACAGAGCTTCTACATGAGCTCATTCTTGAACCTTTCCAGGTTGTCATCCTGGGCCTCAGCAATCCCGAAATTTCGCCAACCCGGGTGAATAATGCCGGGTCCTCAGATCACCTCGTTGCATGGTCGGGGCTCACAGTCGGCCCGCATCTCGTTTTGCAATCCGTGCGTTCCGAGCTTGAGTATCCAAGATCTGGACGTTCGAAGCCTTCAGCTTGTCAACTGGGGAGGAACAGTTGCCGGGGGGCCCAGGTAGCAGGATCCAACCAGCAGAGGAGATGTGACAATTCCAGCTTTCAGTTCCTCAGGCTGAACGTCAATTTGAATGTAACGGGCTTCAAGATCTTCGGAGAATTTTCTGGAGCATACGTCACGGGCACGGTGCTGTCGCCGCTGGCAACTAACGTGGCTGGGGCCTGAGGGTGCGCAAGCCGGAGCGGGTGAAGCTGGTGCTTTCGTGCATGGAAGCTTTTTCAAGGTTGGCATTTGGCTCAACCTGAAGAGCCCTTTGAGAGCCAGCTTGGACACTGGACAGTCAAGCCCCTGGCTCTTTCAGAATTGGACCTGTGCTGTCAAGTCCTGTCGGCTGAGGACGAGCCAGATGAGGCTTTGGTTGCCGCCCACTTTCCAACCACTTCCGGACCGCTGCCTTCCTTTGCTGTGTGGCTTGCAATCAGACTGTCAGCAGAGGACTGCGGGAACGCGCTGTTCTCCCTGTCTTATGACGTGGGCCGTGAATTGGTGAAGAACCCTTTCCCCATCACTGCTGCGAGCTCAGCGGGCTGGTGATACTGAACACAGCTTGTTCGCAAGAGTGCCTTGAAGAATACTTCTTGTGTCCATGCGATACAAGTCCTGTACGTCAAAGTCGCTCACTAGCTCATGCTGGTCCTATCTAGTTGCAGGTGAGCTGAAATGAC